AGTACATGAGGTGGTATAACAAGAATTCCGAATTTCCGAATTCATTATCGATAAAAAAATTTCCCGCCCAGAAATACACCTCACTGTATACTGCAAACAAATAAATGAATGATGATTAAATGATAGTGGAGTGATGTACCCAGCTGCGCTAACGGTTTACGGTGAAGGGGTACTAGTAGAGACTAAAAGTAATCATGAAGTCGGGTCAGTTAGCCCATCTTGGCAAATGGCAATTCACCACGATGATTTCCAGAGGGTACCGCGTGGAAGTCAACCGGACTTAGTACATTGCTAGCAATGGGGTTATTAGTCCAAATTACTTACAATCCCTTTCCGCCCTAGGCGGGTTATTAGATTTTGTGACATCACATTTCAATTTTCATATTAAAATATCATTTTTTATTCTTTATTATACTATAACCAGCTGTAACATGGGGAATAAAAATAAAAAATTACGGAAATTACAGTGACTAATTTATGTGTGGTCCCTTACTAGGCAACGCGCTCGACAATAAAGTGACCATTACTAATCCTCATAACAACGTCATGAAAATATCAAGTTCCAGACTCAATGCGTTTTATTAGTCTGTCCACTGAAATTTTGCACGGTTTTAAAAATTATTTACTAGTAACATGGGAGAAAATTATATTCAATTTATTCATACATTTGATATTCTATAATATGTAAATGCTGTGCCTGGGTTTTAAAATATAGATTTTTACATATGTACCGACAACATTCCAATTATACACATTATATAACCAATTATCTTGAAAATTGAAACATACTTTAATAAAAGAGATTATTACTTTTCTCTCCATTAAAGAAACCTGCGTTCTAATAAGGCAACCGAAGTCGTACGTCAAGCTTGTTTGTATTTGCCGGTTCTTTTATATATTATACATTATTATGTATGAAATCAAAGACTGTTGTCTGTTGACTTATGTGAATATATTTCAATTGTTTTTTCTAATGTTTTTAAATATTTATGTACAAAATAGGTTTTGAACATACTCCACCTTAGAAGATGTGAATATGAATATTAACTAATTTATGAATAAAATGTACAGGAAATAATGAAATTAACAAGCATTTTTTATAGGTCTATGAAGATGCCTTATTGAATTCTGTCTTAATGACTCTACCCACCTACCAAACACATGGAGGAGTATTATAATTCTGTCTGTATATTTCTTCAAAATTGCATTCATTTAGGACCTTGTAACTCTGTTGAAATCTATAATTTACATTAACGCTAAAACTATTGCCTTAGGACAGAAATTCTTTGATATAATAATAATGAGTTCGATTGAATATGCATCACATTAGTATCAGGTAAATCCATAAAGAGTTACCTATCAAAAAAATAATCTATAGCACTCAGCCTGTATAGCCCTAAAAATTAAATCCTGACCTTTCTTGTTATTTAGATACAGATAGATAATCTGTAATTTTAATTCTATTACATAAGTTATATGTAAAACGCTTACAATACGCAATTACTCTTTGCAATCTATTGAAACTCGAAAATGTTTTAAACAAAGAATTAAAATAGTAATACGAAAAGTAAGGAATTTCTATAGCAAGAACATGTGAAGTTGGACAATGAACAGTCTCAACTTCTGTAATAAAAAAAATAAAATGAAATTGGTGTTTTTTAATTGCCCACGAATTGATATCCTGATTTGTTAACCATATAGGACCTGACCACCAAATGTTAGAACATTGCAGCTCCTGTACTGATATACCCTTTGTAAGCAGATCGGCAGGATTATCTTTATTGTTACAATAAGCCCATTGTGAAATATTAGATAAATTACGTATTTTTGCAATTATATTCCTAATATAAACTTCTTTGTGCTTTGAGTTTGAATTAATCCAATATAATACTGTAGACGAATCAGTGAATAAATATGTATTTTTAATCTGACAAATTACAGAAAATATATTTTTTACCTTATCAATCATAGTACATAAAAATAGAGTAGTATTGAATTTAGGGATATTACCCATTCATTGAGTATTCTCAACTTAAAAAATAGTAAAGAACATGTCGAACGTTCCTTAGGCAACCATATTGAACGTCATTAAATGACAAACTGCAATTTGTTTAAAACATTTAGTGGTCCATCCGGCTCGAAGGACCAGTATTTGCCGGTTCTTTTATATATTATACATTATTATGTATGAAATCAAAGACTGTTGTCTGTTGACTTATGTGAATATATTTCAATTGTTTTTTATAATGTTTTTAAATATTTATGTACAAAATAGGTTTTAAACAAAGCTAGTTATAAATAATTTGTAAATAGTTTGTGAATTTAAACTATTTTTAATTTTAATTCTGTACCTCTACACCTACAAGGATAATACCTTAGTAATAATTAACCCCCAAATATTAATACTAACATTAAAAAAACACAATTACAAATCACTTTCGATTAAGAAAATTTATAAAAAACGGTTCAGTTTGTTAATAATATATGACGAAACATGTACCTACCAAGAAGAAAATATAATAGAATTATAAAATACTTCCTTTTGAAAATCGGTTAATAACAAAAATACCAACTGCTAAAAGCTTCTTCTAATGAGCGGATCACCTAAAAAACTGTTTTAATGACTCTATTTAAGGCGACGTGATACACACTAAAACACGCAAAAAATGCACTGAAACTATAAATGTTTACTGAACGATGAAATTGTTAGATATAAAATGTAAACAGCGTGTCGGAGCGACGCGGACGGTTGTATAATATTAATTAATTTAGTCATAGTCACACATCGTATCCGCCTGTTAATCTTAACCTGATACAGACGTGCACTGTATAGAAAGGTATTACCATAGTGCTTGCGATATCAGATTTTCTGATAATTATTCGACTTAATCTTAGATATTAAATGACCAAATTTTTTGTATGTATTGAATACAAAATACAACACAGTATAATTAATAATTATTATGGCAATACTAATTAATTTGGGTTTTTTTTTTAAACAATTAATAAGCTATAATGTATCAATATATGTAGGTATATAGTATAATGTATCAACACAGTGAATAGCCATTCATAACTAATGTTAAATACATTATATTTAAAATATTACATATTGCATTCGATAGGTCTAAAATTAAGTATATTACCTAAATCTCGAGAGCTTTAACGGGTCTGTTCATTTTCTAGACAATGAAAAGACATTAAATGTTTAAATATAGGTACTTCATAATTTAACTAATGCATAAACATATTTCATAATCTTTATTTTTTTACGTAAATGATCCTTTTTATTTATTTTTTTGTATACAATTAAAAACCGACTTACCGAGTTACCTTTTTAAATTTGGAATCTACATAATAATATATGTATTTATCAATAGTAGTATGTTAAAAAACATAGTGAGCTAATATATGAATAAAATAATGTTCAAATCAAGATTTAATATCCTTACAGCGTAAAATGCCCTCGACAAATACATGACTGTATAATCCTGCAGTAAGCCCCGGTGGTACAATATATCTCAGGTATTAATCGTCTAGGAATAGTTCACAAACTGTATAGCAATCTTTGTTACTGGCTATGCAAATAGAGACAGAGGTAGGCAACCTCTGGAGAACTTCCGATTGTATCGTCGTATATTGCATTACAATGTAAATTTAAGTTCTATATTCAGAGAATGTTAACATTCAGGATTTACACACAGTATAACAAAGTTTTACACTTAGGTACGTATACTTAATCTATTAGATATTTAATATAATATGATTGTTCTTCCATAACATTTGTCTCATTAGTCTCAGAAGCAGTTTTATTAATTCAATCATGTTGCTATAAGTGATTATCTATGGATTTTTTTACTATATTAACATTTTTTTTTATTTATCAATTTCATTAAATTATGATATATTATTTCCATTAATGTTTTAATTTAAAGTTGTAATAAACAAAAGGACAATATGCTTAACTTTTTGTTAATTTTCAATCGCTTTCGCTCATCGCGAAATCCTCTACCTAAGGCTGAATAACCTGTTATCGTGCACGTGGCGCATCGTTCGCAAACACACAGTACCTGAGAACATAGGGTTGCCACCCACTCTTCAAAATATATCAGAATTTATACCTAACAACTCAAAATATACATCTCAACACAAAATATAATGTAGTAGTCGATTTCATAAAATCCTACTCAAAAAAGTGTATTTTATTTTTAACAATTATTCAATAGTTTTAAAAATTATAAATAATGCCAAGGCTACGTACTGATGTTTTGCAACATACATTTAATTCCGCAACAACATACAATTATGTAAACTGTGGTACTGCATGAAATACCACAAAAATGATCCTTTACATTTTTTTAATGATCAACCTATCGTTTCGCATAATTCAAAATACTCGCGCTTAAAAGCAACATACATATGTACAACCAAGGATAAGATACTATCATATATATATAGAAATAAGATACTATCACCCATAATATATTTAAGTTACTTAACAACGACAACCCTGAGTATACGGTTCGGTCGCGATCTTATAGACAATACACAAGTAAATACATAACACTTGTGCAAATGATGGTATGCAAACGACACCTCGATATTTGTTGTGTAACAGATACACATTATTGATCGGATATTGCACCTTATATACATCTTAAGATTAAAAATTAAATTAGGTAAAATAAGGATAAATTAGTAAAACCTAGACAAATATTAAAAATTCGATCAAGAAATTATATTCCATAAATTTATGTATAAACGAAAATATATACTATAATTGTTCAAAAATGTTTTACAAAAAAATAAACAAAACATTACTAAACGTGTTATTGTAACTATTATTATTCGACTAAATAAATAAATACTGAATACATAATTTAGGTTGGTATTTTTTAACTCAACTTAATACATCATCTTTATAAATTATGGAATATCTAAGATAATACAGTAAATAAAATATAATCCTTCTAATTTTGTAAATATAATAAACCACTTACCGTTTTACAGCTGAAATTCTCGTTATACCGCACGTACCGTCATTTCGATTATTAAATGTTTTATTGTTGTATTGATAACAAAATATTTTAAGAAATTGTATATTTACTCATTTTACCAAGTCAAAAATATATTGTTCTATTACATTAATGTATTTTAATATAATTCAGTAATTATATGTGGATAATTTTCACGAATTTTCTTTTTGAGACACAGCTTTATGCGTGAGAGCATGGACGCACTGTCGGGCGGCGACTTTCGACTAAAAGGGCTTACTTCAACGGTTGTAGGTACTGTAGTGGAAAGTAAAAATCTACGAGTAAAAGTTCCCGGTTATGATGTTGTTTTATGTGCACATACATACATGTCTAGCTGGGTGCGTAGTACTACTATGTGATCTGTCTAAACGAGATGAGTAGTATGTTATTATTACTACCACTATACAATACTATAAGTAGTTTTATTTACAATTTAATAATGAAGTTATTTACTACAATTGACGAACAATATTGTATTATTTTGTATAGGGTAGTCAATATATATAATGAAATAACTATACTTCTGTCGGTTTAATTATAATTCCTGATTTTGTTTAAGATTTCATAAAGAGATACGCAGTAAACACAAAATAATGTAATCACATTTTACTTACCTTGAACATTCAAAGCGTTCAGAACGAATTGCTAATATATAGTTGATATATAAATACAAAGTTGTTCGTTATTATATTTTACAACAGCCAATTTAAAGTGTAAGATGAAGGTGAATTTCTTGTTATATTTATTTCGTTTTATCTCAAGAATTCTCCACTTACTCATTTGATACGGACGTCCTGGAAGACGGGATTTCAAAGGAATAGAACACTTTGAGTACAAGCTACACTTTACAAAGTGCTGTTATATAATTTTACGAAATAAAAATCTGATGATATAGTATCATGAGAATATTACAGTTATCACGTACACGTTATAAATAAGGGTTTAATGTAAAAAGTATACCATAATCATAATAACTCATTAATGTCTCCATTTGGACAGGTTTCGAAAATAGGATGTAAAACTATTATAATACGCTGTATAAGTATTTTATTTCAATATTAGCACTGGTGTATGTTTTTTATTCTCAATCGTTTCTTGCGACATTGAGTGGTTAAGTACATCCTCACTGCAAAATCACACAGAGAAAGAACTGTATTAAGTAAAATATATATAATAATAGTAACAAAGAGCGAACTATTATACATGAATAAATGGGTTTCATTTTGAAAAATTAAGATTATGTTACAAATAATATATGTATATTATATCGATAACATTATAAGTTTATTGCGAAGCCATAGATAACAAATGTTACAACTAAACTAAGGTGACGTAACTAATGCTTTCGTCTCAATATTATTTGGATATTAATATACTATGAACTTTATAATTATGTATAACAATTACTTTTTAACGTGTAAACAAATTTAAATAATTTTTTAATGCAAATGCATCTTACAACAATGAATAGGCAACCGATGATTTTAATCGTCGTGAGTTAAGATATAAATAGTGAGATTACTAACTTTTATATCTTACGAGTAACGTGTTAAATTTAGAGAAATACCTATTTGATGCTTCTGACATTATTATAAAATTAAGTTAAATGCGAATTGAAAAAATAAAATTTTGTCAGTCATGTTAATAAATATATTTGTTGAACGATATTCGATCTTAACAAATTCCTAGTATTTCTATATTAGTAGATATAGATATAAGTGAATATTTTATAGATATCGCATAAAACTACCGCCAAGTATTTTGAACCACTTAATCGATATAGAATTGTAATCGAGATGACGAACAAAGTACGTCGAGTCGGATTTATCGATATCCGCTATCCGCAGTCCGTCGACGTTCTGACGAGACCACACATTGGGAACCGCTATTATTCGAGTTAGGGTGACCACGTTGTATTCCTTTACTTTTAAAATAGGATAAAAAATAATGAAATAACGTCTGTAGTATAGTCTCAAATAAGTTAGTCAGAATCCATCTATTGACGATTGCCATTAGTATCTATACGACATAATGAAATTTCGTCAAGCATTATCGAATACTGCAACAAGCCTCCTTACCTCTGTCATCCTCCGTCTCTTAGAATGATGTAAGTTTATATATAAGACTCAATGTCATATTTTTTAATTGTGAAATTTGTAGCTAGCTGTCTCACACGTGATATGAACGTGAGCATCACCACGGATATCAGTTATGCGTTGCAATTCTGAAGGATTAACATGTCATACCTCCAGTAATTTCACTGCTTTATCTCACCCTTCCACCGAAACATATACATTATAGTAGAATTACTAATTTATTTATTTCCGTCTTATAAAAATAACCTTATTAATTAATTATTTTTAGAAATTCTACATATTATATAAAAGACATTTCATAGATTGTTTGTTTAGCAAACACTTTCTTAAAAACATATTGCAGAATATACATAAGAATCTATAAAAGCAATTCATAATAGGAATCTTTTTTCCAATCGTTTAATTATAGCTTAATTGCGCGCTCTGACAGCCCTAACTGCAGGCCACCCCGTGCTGCCACGGTCTGTAATCTCTATTGCTTTCTTATTAAGATATTAACTACTGGTCGCAAACGCAGTATTAATGGCGAAGTCGCTGCACTGCTTTATGATTATGATTTGAACTGAACGAGGATGCCTCGGCCCGCTCTTTAGTTTGCAATAAATTGTCAGTTGCTTGTTTCTAGTATGTACCGGCACCGCAATTATTATATCGATATCGGGTTCCAGGGAAAAAAACATGGGTCGTCGGTAAAAATGAGAGGTATGATCGATGAACGTATACGACTTAGAGTCTATTATGATATCCCTAGTATAAATTATAGTATGCAAATGGAATAGCAAACACGCAGACGGCCCACCTGATGGTAAGTGACACCCCTCGCCTATATACATGAACAGCACTATCTATATGTCACATTATCATGTGACACCAATGATGGTACTCGTGCGATGCTATTTTAGAAGACGAAGGTGTCATGCCTCTTATTATCGACCTTTTCAGCATACGTTTTAATATCGACCTTAATTCTATGTATAGAGTATGTTCTTGTCCAACCGTCTTTTTCATAACAATGTAAATCTCCTCCAAATGTGTTTTAACAATTGGAGTACTTTGTCATTTTCTTTTAGGTGCAAGAAAATGATATAATATCTAAAATAGTTTTATAAGATGATTTACGTTTTTGTGAAGAAAAGTTATAAATATCTATATATTATAAAAATAATGTCCTTAACTGGGGATTCTCGAATTATACAGATCAAATGGCGTAAGATTTAATTTGCGTCGAATATTACACGAATTGCACTATTATATCTTTTGGAGCAATTTAAAAGTGCTAGAAAAAATTCTGAACCAGTCATTAAGCAATCTAATTGACAAATATATACTATACTATATACATGAATATACATGATACGAGATATAAGAAATACAATGCATTTCTCTATGTTATTAGTAGTGTAAGCGTCATTTTAACAAAACCACAAGCCAAGCTAACTCTACATACTTGTAGTTCCCGACCGTGCGGCAGTACTCGCATACTCCGGCAGTTACTGACATAAATCTAATGATAATAATCGAATGCAGCCGGTGCCGCATCTATCGACCAATATCGATTTATAATAATTAAGAGTCATGCCGATGACGTCAGCCGTGCTATGATTTACTTGTAAAATTTATTTATATCTACCCATCTCTATTTTACATACTACAAGAAAAAAAATATGAACCAAATCTTTGTGGCATTATATTTTAAATGCTTTTATTGCATCAGACAAAAAAAGTGACGAGAAATTGCTGAAGTTTCGTTGAAGAATATGCAGAAATGGTTTTCTATCAGTTTGAACTTCTGTCAAATTGCAAACGCATTATTCACAAACCTCAATACCTCATTTTTGTTTCATGCTCTTCTAGAAAAGGACATTAATTTCTTATTACAAATCGTGCTGTCAAGATTCCTTGATATACATTTCAATCCCAGTTACCACCATGTAATCTGGAATATTCGGGAAACTAAAAATAACGTTCCTACATCTTACGATTACACTATATTGAATAATTTCTTCATAGCCATATGGTTGTATTGATGAAGAAACAGATTTCAGAAATCGAAAACTCTTTCTCTCTCGGTTTCTAAAATCTTTTTCTTTTTCGGTTACCACTTACCATCAGTACATAATTTTTTTAGCTAGTAGGTATTCTTATTTTGAATCTAGTTTTAATGACCGCCTTAGTCTAGAAGAAATATGAATTACAAAGTGTCTATGTCTAATATATTCAGCTTATTGTAGTTGAGTTATCCAGAAATTCTAAAGCATCTGTAATCTAAGCTGCGTCGCAGCGATAATACATGAAATGTTTCGTTTTGCCTCGTCTAAACTATATTAGTTACTATATACCTATTATGTAGAAACTATTATATTTTTTTTTACATTTACGCCGTTAGACTAACATCAACTGGGCTTATTACAATAAAAAATGAAATCACGCGTCGACGTGTTCCCTGTACAATAAATCAGAATCAATAATCGGCCATAATCGATATTGCGCAGACATCGTCGATCGATTTATAATCGTCGCAAGTCGGGAAGTGTAATGTAACATGCCCATCCCTCAAACGGTAATGACCGCAGGATTTACTTTCTTCCCATCATAGATTGTCTATGTACCGGCCTGTTACAGCGATTTAGTAGAGAATTTTAAGTAGACAAAGGTGTTAATACTGATATTTTCATATAGGATAGAGCCTTTTATAATTAAAGATATATTTAAGGTAATAAAACAAAATCCAATATTTTTCTATTACTTTTACATTCAAAAATTGTATATTGGTTTAGATATATAGTTAATTAAGTATTATATAGTTTAGATAGATAGTCAATACAGGAAAGTATTGAGTTTACCACAATATCGATATTTGACCATGCCTATTATTTATATTCCATCATCTTAGATGGAATATAATAGGCATAATAAATAATAGTATTATTACATAATGCAATATCATTATGGAATATAATATAAAAAATAAATAATATAACGGTATATAAATAAAATCTAGTAATGAAAATATTCATAAAAATAATTCCATAGTATATCCTTAATCTCGCATTTAGAACAATCCAATAAAATTGAAACAAATCGAAACAAATCAGTTCATTGCCTCACTTACCCAAAAGGCTTTCGAACCTCGTTATCACGTGCCGCGGTGACAAATGGGCACCGCCTCCCACCACCGGCACTAGCATGTCCAGGAATTCATTAGCTTCCCTATTAATTGAGGGCTGGCCGAAGGTCCTCCCTAATAGCAAGCGGCGGTTCAAAAGGATATTTGTTACCTTTTTTATTTTATAATAAATTGCCTAATTTAGAAACATGCAACAAGTATTGTGGTGTGAATAGTGTGGTGGTTTAGTACACTATCGCACATACTAATGGTTACGGGTTCGATTTCTACATAATACAAAATATTGTTGTTTTTGAGAAGGTTTATATGAGTTTACATTAATATAGTATTTATATACATATGATATATGTATACATATTAAAAAAACATGTTGAGATCATTTAAACAGTTTTTGTCAAAGTTAACGTCCATTTTTGTTTCTATTTTAAACCCTATCCTCCAGTTAAGCAATGTTGAGGCTATATTGCAAACGGATCGACGGTCAAACGATTGTTACCACTTAACATCAAATGGGTCATCAGGTTGTTTGTCACTTAAGCTGCATAAAAATATTTTCGGCTATTTTGAACTTAGATTATTTTTACAAAATGATAAGATTATTCCCATCTTAATCATATTCATATAACAGACCTTTGCATTTAGGCATATGTGCATCGTACATATTATTTCCAACGACAAACTACATATACTGTTAATATCTTAAATTAGTGACAACATTTGCTATCTATCTATATAAATAATTGTAATTTTAAAGTAGGTACATATTAGAATACGGAACTTAGAGGAAAAAAAATAATTTAATAAACTTTTGCCTGTCTATGTAAATAAATCTAATCATAATCTTATCTGTAGACTATCTTTCTGTTTGTACCAGGGATATTATGGATATGAAATTTCGGATACAGGAATGATTATTATACCGGATACGGATACGGATGCGGATATGAAATTATATCGGATTATCCGTTAGTTTGGGATAATTTCGGTTAATTTTATTAATTTCGTGTCTTTATTAGGCTCCACCCCTATCCGATATTATCCGAAACTTTTATTTCGGATTCGGTTACGGTTACGGAGCTCCCTAACATCCCTGGTAATCTCTGAAACGGCTGGACTGATTTTGACGGTACTTGCACTCGCAGGTAGCTAGTGTCATAAAAAGCAACTTAAGCTACTTTTATTTATGGTATGTAATAACATTTTAATAAAAAAATAATGTTAAATTTCAGGCAGACTAAGTCACAATAACACAATTTTTATTAAATGTCGTGGTAATGAAATACATGTAGAGACATCTATTGAGAAATCAATACAATCTTTATATTTTATAGTGTGTATTTGAAGCTATTGCCATCTAGCGGGGAATAGCCATTTCTCAGTACTAACTTACTGAGTAACATATCTACTATTTTTGGCTAATTCATTTTATTAATTTATGAATATGCGTATATAATATAATTAGCTTTACCTACGGACCTATGTATTTGTGGAGTGGGAGACTTCACAATTAAAACGAATCTTTACATACCATTCGGAACCATGGTGTTTAATAGAGTACCTATGCCGAATATTCGAAAAAGCCTACATACAAACAGCGTGAAACTATTACCCTTCTTTCTTTAGTACTCTGTAATATGTATATAATAATAAAATCAAAATATAGGAAATAACCCCTGAATCAAAGATAATATCAATTAAATTGTAGCTAAAAACCATATCAATCACTTCAGTTTTCAAATAAAAAAACCGCTGCATAATCAGTCCATTTACAGAGAAAGAGTCACAGATAAATCAAAATTATGACACCCCTCTTTTAGCGCCATAGGTTAAAAAAAGTCTATCTGGACTTCTGGAGTATAAACATATTACATTTACTATTACACAAAACTTACCACAAATATGTAAGATCATATATAAAACTCTCGAATACGTAGCATAATTCAGAAAGTTGCGCAAGATGATTATCTTGAAGATGTCAATTTTTCGATAACCGACCTATTGAATTCTCTTATGTTATCTGAAACAAGAGTATCACTATCATAAGTTACGATTTAGTGCATAAGCGGATTGTGTTCCATGTAATCGTCTACCTTGTATTGAACGTGACAAGATTCGTGGGCAGTATACTGTGAACAGTGGGGCAATGGATAGACCTGGCACCAGTCGCCAATCCGTGGAGAAGATTGAAGTCTTCGAGGTACGAGAGCATGTTCCTTACCAAGCTGAAATAACCAGGGCGCCAGCAGAGTACGACGAAGAAAGTGGGGAAACATACGATTCCTGGAGCTCAGCCTGGAAATCCATCTGTCAGCTTTATAATTTATTACACCACATGCAAGTGGCAATCGTGGTATACTGTTTGTGGCATTTCGCTCTGACGTCATCACCTAACGGATCCATTACTAACTTACAACTGCACATAATCTTCGCGGGCACTGGTGTATGTATTATTTTTTTATGTATGTAACTTTAATGTAAAAAAACAGACGGCGTAACTGATGGTAACTGGTAACTATTGGCTATATACGTAAACAGCGCCATGGACATCACGTTACTATGTAACTTAAATGAAGTGTCTTACCTCCGTACTGTAGTATAACTGACTTATCTCATCTTTCAACCGAATCATATATTATTATGTAAAGTTGGTGTGATACATGATGGATATATTGATTAGTTGTGCTTCGTTATCATCCAGTATTTCAGTATACACTCAATCGTTTTTTTTATGATATAACAAATATATGCTGCAAACTAAATATCCAACGCGAATAGTCAAAATAGCTTATTAGTATACTTATGTTTAGATTAATATTCATTTATTATTGGCCAGTCATTGGTCCATGATAACATGATAAGATCCAATGATATCTTACGTAGGTACTTAGGATATATAAAATATATACTTATGATCGTTTATAACAGTTTTTTGAATATATATTTATAAACAAAAATTATTTTTTATAAACAATAATTTGTACCTGGATGTTGTCATATAGATATCGAGTGATATCAATACTCTTGTAGATACCTAGATAAGTGATGAAAATACACAATTTCCATCATATCTCGGTATATGCGTTTTACCATTTCAGTTTTTAATGAACATAGTATAATAAAAATTCTAGGTGTCACACCTGTGTTGCTGGTCATATATATTGGATCTGTAAAGGCCAGCTACGGCCAACAGCATTAAAGTAATCCGAATAAAATCAGGTTGGCAGTGCAGTGACCGCATTTGCCATTCCAGTCACATAAGAAAAGATGAAAACAATATAATAAATATTATTTCAGTACCAACTGTTCCTTGTGGAGGCTATATTGACGTTACATCGCCATAACTCTTGGTCATTCCAACTGTCCGATGACTCTAAACGCATCGTACACGGATGTCTGCAGCTCATTGGGTCGGTGTTCGTAATGGCTGGCACTTTTCTAGGTTTAGCTGATGTTAATATAAGCGTCATTACTCCTCACGGGATTTGCGGTAAGGATTATTTTTGTAAATATATCTTCACGAATTATTTTCTTAAGGACGATAATAGAATAGACTAGACTGCGCTAATAATATACGCTGGCTGGGCATCAATAGAATATTATAATAATAATAATCTCAGGACAATTCACACAGCGCCATCTAGACCCAAGTTACGCTAGCTAAAGCCAGTGTTATGGGTACTAGACAACTGATACATGTACATAGATTTTTTTTTGTAAATACATACATATTATACATAGAAAACACCCAGACCGATACAAACAATCATACTCATGACTACAAATGTTTGTGCCGTGCGAGGAATTGAACCCGCGACCATCGGTCGTAAAGCGGTGTGCTAGACCGCTAGACCACCGAGGTCGTTTATAGGATGAGTATGTATTGTCAGGTTAGTTAATCTTGATGAATTTCCCAGGAATTAACACCAATGGTTTTCAAGTATAAACTGCGCTCAAACACTCTACATTATTATTAAACACTTAACTATAAAGCATTAGAGTTTGTAATCATTTGACGGATTGAATTAATTGATTATACGAATTTTGCGGTATAATAAAAAAACAGAATGCATCTCTTGCTCAATCGTGATCATCAGATAACTCCCTATACCAGATAAGATTAAGTAATAGTATAGTAAATACTTGCTTGTATCTCAATATTACCAAACTATTTCAAGTAGTGCACTGGGTTTTCACTTTTTGAAATGACAACTGAATTTGATAAGTGTACCTAATTTTATCAATATACCTGGGCATAACACTTAAGGAAGACACAGTAGTTAGACACACCTTTAAAGTCGATGTCACGATATACCGTGAAAGATTTTGATCGCCAAAATCTGTTGTCAATAAGTACTTACATAAAAATATAAATGCAATAAGTGCCTATGTATTTTCTAATTTGTATACTGTTTGTTACCTTAACCTCCATACTTACTTTAACTTTAGTGAACGTTTCAAATGTAGTCTACGTCACGGATAATGAGGCACTATTGCTTAACCATACACATCCTATGTTTTGCTGTTTTGCCCAGGACTTTCTGCTCTATACATAAAACCCAGAGCTAATAAAACTGAATAACTTTACTGTCTCTACGTACATTATATGTTTGTCTGTTTATCTGTTCGTATGTTAATATGTCACGTCAATAGGACTGGAGTAATGAGTATGAAAGACAGTCTAAAGAAAGTTCTAAAATACTCGCTGTAAAAATCCGCTACCATTAACATGTCTGAGCTCACAAATATTGAATATAGCATGGAAGCCTATGTTCACTACTTCAAGTAGTACTCTAGTCGCCGAACAGTCAACACTAGCCATAGATAATATACTATACTTGAAAACACTAGCCTTCCAAGCTCTATTGAATGCCCGATGATGCCTCATTCAAAAGCGAAACATATGTATATCCAATAACGGTCATGATTTGATCACTAATAGAAAAGATCGTAATGCTTCCATTTGCGATGGTTAGGTTTTCGCACTGAATATTTGAGAACTCACGCATGCTAATGGTAGCGAAATTAAACAAATATAAAATAATTAACTGAAGAAGTGAACTTAAGCTAAATATCACCTAATTTCCTAAAATAATTACTGATGTAAAAAAAATAAGACAACGACATTTATTTAAATAAGTTCATAAACTAATGTATTTTGAATTAACTATCCTATATATATATCTTAAAAATATGTTTCATTCGCAGGTATAATTGCCTTGGGATTTACATTATTAAGCTTTTTATCGGGTATCATGGCACTATTTTCTTCAAAAGTACGGCTGATGGTGAAGAGTGGTCCTATGAAAATGGTGCATATGGCAGTCGGCCTGTTCGCTATATCCATGGGTCTAGTCACAATAGCTATGGGCTTCCATATGCCGGTCTTCAGTTCATCACAAGAGCGTCTGTCAACAGCACTAATAGTTTTTGTAGTTTTAAATCTTGTATACATACTTATACAGCCGATTGTTAATATAGTATCCACAACGAAACGTGTAATGTGACTAGTTGATGTTGAAGGCTCTACTGATAGTCACAGTACGGCTTAATATTTTTTTTATTATTTAGTAAATAAATTTACGTAATTATTGTACGATGATTTATATACAAATCTACCAAAACTGATGAGCAAATAAAAGTTTCATATGTTAGGTACCATCATACATTTTTTAAGTTGTTAATTGTTCTGTAATGAATGTGATTACTCCTTGGTGTCATTTTATAAAAAAAAATGATAAATAGGTAGGTAATTAATAGATGACAGAGTAACATAAATCACGCTCTGATCATGTACGTAACCTATAGCACGTATAAAATAATGCAAAACATTTTTTTATTGTTACAATTAAAAAATATTTAAATATAATTTAAATGCAAAATATTACTTTAGTCCTTAATTTGTAGCATTTTTAAAACATTGACAAAAAGTAAATATAAGTTAATTTAAAGTAATATTTAATTAAGATACTTATATTGTTATGTAGTATAATAATATTAAGTAAAATAGTATAAATGAACTTAAACCTACTTTACTACCTAAGGATATGTACGAGTGCTTGTAATAAATTTGATTTTACTATCGTTTATATTTTAGTTTTAATACATTATACGCCCAACTCTATAATGCAGGGAAATGGGGATTGTTAGTAATGCTGATTGATGACCTCATTGCCCGCAATGTAACATCTCAGGTTGACATCCACACGGTTCTACCTGGTAACCATCATATAAATTCCTAGGGAATTTACCACGTTGGGCTAACTCACCTGACATCATGCTCATCTTATTATTCTCCACTGGCGCAAGGTCAGCATATACCCACCGTTTATTAAAAAAATATTATTTTGCATACATTTTATAATTACGGGAATTAATGAAATATGATATTACCGCCATCTAGTTGCGCACATAGGAAATTGATATATTGAAATGGAAATAACTGTAGATATATAATAAGTCAAAGTAAACTTTACTAAAACAACCACAAAGCTATTATATAAATGTTGGCACTGCCGTAATAGCAATTAAACCAAAATTGAATCGAAGTAATAACAAACAAGAAAAAGTGGCATTATTTCATATAAAAATTGTTTTGTTTTAATTGAGGCGTGTTTTCTTATGCGGTTAATCAAATCAGTCCCTTGAAATTTAATCTTTACGAACAATTGCTTACAAAATATACGTGGTAAATAAACTGTTATAGGGATATATGTATTCATAAACGAATTCCATTTTTCATCCTATTTTTCAACCAAAGAGAATATAGAAGAACTAATGATCTTGTCACTTTCAACTTGTATTGTCATTTTGACAGTTATGACGGCTTGCTCAGCTATTCTGAAATTGAGTGAATCGACAAGAATTCTCCGGCTACTTTAACTTTTTTTTCTGTATTACATTTCTATATACAAATATTTGCAATTGTTTCTTAACATAATCATGGTAAGTATATCCAAACTATCAAACAAATCTGTTTACTTGCTTGTAGGTTATCAATTTCTTGCTTGGTCATTCGGATTCATAACATTATTTTTTGATTTAACAGGCTCGACGTTATGATACACGTACCACAATATTTTCGCCGGAAGGTATTCAATTGACTAATTATTTCTTTCCTTTTTTGTATTATACATAGTATAGTGCATAATAATTAATTTACTGATCAATATAGGTCGGCTGTATCAAGTTGAATATGCTATGGAAGCTATAAGTCATGCGGGAACATCGCTAGGCATTCTAGCCACAGACGGTATATTACTAGCAGCAGAACGTAGAAATACGAATAAACTTCTGGATGAAGTATTCTTTTCTGAGAAGATTTACAAGTTGAATGATGATATGGTGTGTTCTGTCGCTGGTATCACATCGGATGCTAATGTTCTTACTAACGAACTCAGATTGATTGCTCAACGGTACTTACTGCAGTATGGAGAGTCAATTCCTTGTGAACAATTGGTGTCTTGGCTATGTGATGTCAAACAAGCCTACACACAATATGGAGGTAAGTTTTATATATATTAAAGCATAAAAACGCTCGAAACATATGTAATTATTTTATAATTATAATGTTGTAATATTAAATTACTATATATCATATCAATACTCCATAATTGTAGTATAATCAAGGTATAAATATTGTCTCTACAAAGAAATTGTGTGTACTTTGAAATATTGTGGTGGCAGAGTAAGAATACAAAATAACATTACTCTATTTCATACTTATAATGCTCAATGGACTGAAAGAACTAGATGAATAAGCTAGGGGGTAGTTTGATATGGGTAATAGGTTGACATCCCCTGATAGATTTGCCACTATGGCCTATCTGACTTGGCTTCATTGTCATCCTGTCATACTTCACTGGTGACCTGCAGTGTATACTGTTAATGCAGGTGGATGCACCATTCTATCATCATCCACACCAAAAAAAATTAAATCTATATTTGCTTCAACTAGGAAAGCGTCCATTTGGAGTCTCAATTCTTTACATGGGATGGGATAAGCATTATGGCTACCAGCTGTACCAATCGGATCCCAGTGGAAACTATGGTGGCTGGAAAGCTACTTGCATTGGAAACAATAGTGCAGTAAGTAATAATTTTTATAAATCTGGTATCTGGTTAAATTTGAAAACTATTATAAAAAATCTTTATGCAAATACATAACATTATATGTATCTAAATGTAAAGAAGATTGTATGAAAGTCTTTGTTTATCATCTTCATGACATATGTGGTTATTTATATGTAGTTACTGACATTTAGAAGATCCTCACAAACACAAAGGAATTGGGTAAAATATTTCTAGATTAATACACAAAGTATTTATACACACTACATCTTGATCTTATTAATATTATAAATGTGAAAGCTTGTGAGAATATGAAAGCTGGATGTATATATGGATGGATGAAGTATTTGTTACTCTTTCACACAAAAATAACTGAATGGATTGTGATGTAACTTTACTATATTATATTACTATATAGCTTATACATTGAAACATAAACGATAAAATATTTGAGTACTGTTTATATAAATATTGTATATCATAATAAGGACACCTAATATAAAGCTCTCCTTGTTATGGACTATTATATTAGATAGTATAATAATAAAAGTGAAGACACAATGCTGTGATATATACATGGTTATAACTTCAAATAACCTAATTTGATTAGTTAAAGAAAAATCAAAACATTATTTTATATATATACTATATATAAAATTCTCATGTCACAATGTTAGATACCATACTCCTCTGAAGCGGCTTGACCGATTTTTATGAAATTTTATATGAATATTCAGTAGGTCTGAGATTCGCTACAATCTATTTTTCATACCCCTAAGTTATAAGGGTTGTCCACCCCTAACATTATTTTTTTATTTTTTGGGCAAATTTTTTATTTATATTTTTTTATTATGTGCCATTAAAAAATACATACAACCCTAAATATTCACCCTTCTATGACCAACCCCTATTTTTTATAGTGTTATTAATTTATATGGCAAAACAATGTTTGCAGGGACAGCTAGTAATACTATAATAAATAAATAAATTACCCTGAATTTCACTCATTTCCAGGCTGCTGTGTCAAGTCTGAAACAGGAGTATAAAGAGAATGAGACAACATTGGCTGAGGCACAAGCCTTGGCTATCAAAGTACTAAGCAAGACACTTGACATGACAAAATTAACTCCAGAGAAAGGTATATCAGTAATCATAATAAATAGATTAATATAATAGAACAGACCACAACCTGGACATCACTGATGCTGGGGTGTTGTTAGAATCACCATTGATTTTTATTGTTTTGTTTTAAATTAAACTGTTGTTTTACAGTGCAGCAATTTCAGTTCATTTGGTTTTCTATGCCAAAGGAGGTGACAAACTTTGGTATTCAAGCCTTTTTTTTTTATTTTAAATGTTTAGGGAACTGCAAATAGATATAATATGTGTATATATAAAATTTTAATACTAAAAATAAACATAATTTTTTTGCTTACCTTGATATTTTTTTTAAATTTGGTGAATACTTGGTGGTATCACTTCTCAGTATTTTTTTAAAATGCTAGCTAGTTAATACTGATCATCATGATCATGTCGTCAGTAAATTTACTGAACTAATAGTCTGAACATTAATATTTTATCCACCATGTGGCCTTAGAATACTCTTGCAATATTAAATGTAATGTTTGATTATTAGTATAATCCTGTTGTATAATTTGTATAGTACAATGAGTTCTTTATATTATTTATTACTTTTTAGTGGAAATGGCAACACTCACTAGAAAAGACAATAAGACTATTATTAGAGTCCTCACCAGCACTGAAGTGGAAAAACTAATTGCAGCCTTTGAAAAGAGTGAGGCTGAAGCAGAAGCCGCTAAGAAGCAACCACCCAAATCCTAATTTTTATGTCATTTATTTGCATTAAGTATTTTTGTAAACAGTAAACCTTTTAAACTATAATTGTGTTTTACTATTGCTATGTAATTTACAAATAATATATGTATATGTATATTTTAATATATATATAAATAAAATTACATTGGCTTTATTAAGCTCTTGTGTATTTAATTTGAAATGTTTGTAAAAGTCGTAACAATATTAAGAAGTAAGAAATTACAAGGAAAATAGTAAAATGAAGCAATTTTCCTATGTATATCAAATTTAAATAATAAAAATATATTACAGATGACCACACAAACTATGGAAAATCTATTAATTAAATAATATCTACTTTTTTTGTTGGTTTCTTTTTTCCACACAGTTTTGGTTTACATATTTTTACATATAATATTATCCTAGCTGTGCTGCAGTTGCAAACATCACTCCACCACAATATTAGATGTCTAGAGAGTGTTTACATTTTATAAGAAGTAACCATATCGGCAAATTCTTTTCGAGCAATCTGTAGTTTTTGGCAGCAAGGCGGCGAGGACGATAAGATAATGGCAGTCCGTCAGTAGTTGTTACTGAAATGCACTGTATTGTGTTTAACTTCGCAATGAAGAGCAGTTGTACGAGTAAGTTACGGATATTACGGTATTTTTGCTAAAAAGTGTCCATGACTTGACTGGGTGAGTCATGATAATCTCCAGTATTGGTCTTGACGCTGCACTGAATTTGATGACGAAAACCGGTTATTCTATCGAATTGACTTCTATGGATACAATCTGGCAAGAGATTGTAATGAGCGAGGAAGTGGGAACCTATGATTGGAATGCTGACGTCAGCTATAATGATGTCCCATGTAAAAACTCGTGGAAGACCTAGGTTGAGATTGAAGCGCTGTTCGCTGACATTGGCTGCTTGCAGCACAAAGTCAGTTTTATGGGCGTGGGAACGAAGGGCTCTTTGAGGATAGTAGTAGATATCACAACCTATAACTACGAGATATCATCGCTTACTGTATAAATTTGTCACAAATAAACGGCTACTTGAAGTGGTATGAGGAGTCAGTACTCGCCTTTCCATGTTCATATTTAAAAATTAATTATGCTTCTAGTTACAAAGAGTGGTACAGCGTAGCGCTTTCTCCTTATATGTACATGATACATGTCCAAGGTTGACTGTTCGTACTATTCAGCGGGTAAAATGGCCAGTATTATTGGTTATTTAAAGATTGTTTGTATTATAAGAATATTAACTGATGGCGTCTATAAAATAATTAACTTATATAAAAATAATACACGCTGTCCGTAGATTCGCCACACTTACTTTTGTGTGTTCTGCTCTGACCGACTGTGCTGCTGCTATCAGATTCGCATCCCCTCTAACAGATGTCGCTAGTACCGAATTAAAACGCGATATATTTTCGTTTTGTGAATTGGTATACGTCAACTATTCACCAGTTCGAAATTAGTAGCATGTTAACGAAATACGAAATTAATACCTATAAAGGTACAATTTTTGGACGCGGTATTTTTTATTTTATACTACCGCTTATATTAAAGCTAATCAGATTCAGATTTCATATTACCATTATAAATATATTAAAATAAGTCTTAGTGTTTATACTGAATAAATAGTATATAAGTCTAATAGTTCTTCTAGACTATACTATTTATTGTTATATACGGTATATATATATCTATATCTATATTTATATTTTATACATATAAATCAATTTTGAGTGTCTGTTTGTAATATTGAAATAACTTTTTTTACAATTTTTGTCAGTCTGTTCCGGCTAATCTCTGACATGGCTGGACCGTCTTAACGGGACTTTTATTGGTAGTAGGGAATTCTATTAAAGACTATTAACTAATTAATGAATTCCCGGGAAATCGTTGGGGTTTGTTCCCGAGAAATCAAGCTTGAGAACTCGAGAAATCATGTACCTATATAGAAATTAAATTGCCGTTTGTTTTGTTGCGTGGCGGCGCAATAATTTAAAATATGAAGGTTGTCTTTCATGTATTTTATTTTATTTTATAGTAGGGTCGTTTCGCCTGTTCTCGTCCATTTAGTGCAGTTGGCAAGTTTGACGGCGAAAATAAAAATTCTCCGGCACTAATTTCTATGACAAATTTGTGTAATGTATTCATTATATAGTTTATTTTAAGATTAACTTTCAGTTTTACTAGGAACATCTTGTATTTTCATTTAAATCGATAAACTTCAGAATTAGACGTTTTACCCACTTTGCATCCACAAAATCCAAATTGCGTCCAACCTTGGACCATTTAGCGTCCAGCAGCTTAGAAAAGGAATATAGGCGTGATATTTTTAAGAATTTGTAAAGAAAGATTGTATTTTAACAATTTCTTTATTTAAGAATATAAATATAAAAAAAACAACATAATTATCATTAAAAAAATCTCTTCAAAAAAAATAAAATAATTCTTCTCAACATTGGTAGAACCTAAAATTAGGTTAGTAGTAGGCAAATAATGATTGCAACTTTAAGAATAAGTTTACTACTTATTCTTAAAGTTCTGTTAATTTTACCCTGAAATCTCAAGGCTAAAGATCAGCTTTGATTATAACTTTACTACATCGGGTCTGCGCCCACTGATTTTGTCCAATATTGTGGTCTTGGGAATAGTACCTATATTCTTTACATATTTGTCTTATCGATTTATTCTTCTCTCGAATTTCATTTAACGCTTTCTTTAATTCTTCTTCTGTTTATGTTCTCTTTTCCTTCTACTTTCTTGACTCCGAAGAACTCATCTTAAATGAAAAAAAAGATATGTAAAATGAAAGAAATTACTGATTTCAATTAAAAAATAAACAAAGAAAGAAAGAAAATTGCTTATTTGGTACATAGCAATAATAAAAATACATACTTGCATGTAAAAATAATTATTATTTATATGACTAGACTAGACTATGTGTTTATAAATATAAATTATTTTTTAAAATTATTATATAAATAATATATAATAATAATAAATTATTATTAATTTAACGGAAATAGTGGACGCAAAGTGGAAGTTTTGTAAAATTCGATGTAGTAATTCGCGTCCACCTTAATTTATCTGTTAAATATAAAAAACATTACCAAATTCATAAAAACATTATTCCTTTATTCATCATTAAACTGTAGAAATAGCTATCTATCCTAAAATTCACATAAAACAATATAAAACTTACCATCAAACACGCCGCTACACACAAATTTTTATCTAAAATTCAAACGTGTTTACGCTTTCTTGTTGAAGAGTCTAGACTAACTATTTTTTCTAAACGGGATTGGTTTGACGCACAGAACTTTTGTCTATCTGTGCGTGCCTCTTATACATCGAGGTATTAGCGGTAATGACTTTTCGTTCAATTGGTGTCAGTTGACTTATTTTTGATGATTTTTAACGGGAGATCCGCAAAATGGACGCAAATTGGGCGATGGACGCGAACAGGCGAAATGGTCGAGGATGCCCCCACGCTCGGGAAAGCTGGTTGAAGCTGATAAAGACGGTAGATGATAATCTCTAGTAAAAAATAAGTCTATTTCTGGACAATATTAAAAATCTTACTGCTTTCTTGAAATGTGTTTACGTAGCTGTTTTCGTATTGATTGCCGTATGCATTTTTAGGTAAAGTGCGTATACTATAAATACAACATGGTAATATTAAATATCTATGACGTAAACGAATGCCTTGAGTAGGTAGTTATGTTTACTAAAAGGTGGCGGCGGCGCGGCGTGGTGGGCCTGATCAATTGGCTCTCAAAAATATGGTCGAGCGCAGTGATGGCTGGCTTATCCTTCATACTTGTGAACGAGGGCTGCTTGTAGCGACTGGTCTGCGCTAATCACTAAGACCGATTTAATAATTTGAATGGAATAAATTAGTGCTAGTAGTACAAATATTCACACATTTTAACTAAAAACTATAAAGTTACAACAATTAGGAAAGAACAGCACGCAAATTTCTTACTTGTTCTTCTAATAATGAGACAGCTTTCCGACTCAGCGGTAGATAAAAAAAAAGTAACCATCATTATTCAAATGTGCTTAAATTGAAGTTTATTTGAATAAATAATTTACTATTCTATTCTATTCTAAAGACCATGGTATACTTATTTTATACTTTGGCGTAGACGTTATTCGTCCATCTCTATTCAAAGACAATCAATGAAAGGACATGAAATTTTAGGACTTTATCTGTGAAATGTCATATACAGATGTCATAAAAGTAGTAAAGTAGATGATGTGAGAAATGGTCTGTGGTCGAATGTGTCGTGTATTGAGTGATCTTTGATTTAAAATAATCGTCGTCTGTGATTTCTACTTAAAAATTGTTTGTTATCATTAATTGTAATTTATTTTTAAAGATTATAAAGTTATGACTTTTGTTTCATAAATCAGCAGTTGTTACTAGTTAATAAATATGGCAGTCGAAAAAATTAAAATGAATAGTCCACCCATTCCTAAGAAATCACGATTAGAAATGAATGTGAGACAGCTGCTAAATAAATGTGAACTTATTGCAAAAGAGGAAGCTGTTGATACCAATTTGAGATTAATAAAATATGTAGAATCATTAAGTGAAATGTTGGCTGAATTAAAAACAAGTCCGGAGTGAGTGTATATCCTAATATATTCTCATTACAAATTACAAATAATAAGAATTAACTTAATGCTGCCCTTACAAATTAGAATTGAATCTTTCAGTAAACCACCAACCAAGGAGGTCTTAGCTGGGTATACAAAACGGATAGGTTTTTTAAAGGGGCTAATACAGACTGCTACATTACACAGTCCAACAGAAAAGGTAAAATATTTAGATACTAATGCAATGTGAATAATTTTAAACTGTTCATTATCATATTTGTAATTGAGTAGCTAAAAGTACATATTTAATGTGTGGATACTTCAACCGCCAAGCAGCTTGCTTTGTAAGTTGTATTTCTGTTGTAGCTTAAAATTAGGCAGTGAAATTTCAAGACAGAGAGAGAGAGAGAGATATGTCATCATTCTAGAATAAATAAACTTCCTAGAATAACAACTCATGAGTGGTATCACAAGCATCAGATCATGTGATGGGTGTGGACTATTGAAGCTAAGCTACAACTGTGTGTGCCCAGTGTTAGCTAGTATTTGTATATCTAATGAATTAACAGGCAGATTTCTGCAATATATCTCAGTAGATAGTGTTTATAGTTTTTGTCAGACTGAAGAGGAAACACCACTACATATCCTATGTGGTTGTAGGCCATTCATGCATAAACATATTATCTCCTTTGGAAAGTTTACACTCTATTCTGAGGAGAAAAAACCCATAGCTTTTAAGAATATCCTTCAAAAAGGGGCAGGCACAATAGATATATGCAAGTCGTAGTGTTACAGGTCTAAGCACCTGACAATAGCCCAAACTCCCCAATAAGAAAAGGTGTTTATAATGACCTTAATATTGCAGTTGGATGCAGTACAGCTATTAGCACATGGTGCAGCAACAATGTCTGTTGATGCATCAGCTCAAGAGATACATCAGAAAACTGTAGTCAAGTATGGAGCAGAGTTGCGCACAGAGCTATTTGGGCCAGGTCAGATATTTATCAATACCACAACATTGGTAATTCCTATACATGATAAATATTATTTGAATATGGATGTAAACAATTTAATTTCATTGTCAACATCTAACTTATTCTTGGCAACAGAAAACTGTAGTGCACATAAAAAAGTTTATTCTTTTTTTTTAAAACAAATTATATACATAATTGTAAATTCTTTAGTTGCATTAGAAATCTAGCACTAAACACTTACCTAATTGTAGGTAACTACTATAGGTCTTTTAGTTCAGTTATCTAATGATTATTAATTATATGTATTCAATTTATTAAAGGTACATTTGGGTACAATAATATTTCATCTTTTATTCTTATTAAGGACTATTCTGCTTTGATCACTGAACTTAGTTTGTTACATAAGTATATTTTATTGTTAGATTCTTGTAATTAATCAAATTTTGCAATTTGTATTCACACAAATTCTTAAAAATGTTGAGTTCTTCAAAAGAGCTACTGCCAAATTTCTTGTGTATACTATTCAAAAGAGTTATATTAAGTCAATATATTCTTTAAAATTTTATTTCTAACACAGTATTAATGAATAATCTACAGATGATTCAGATGACACTCTAAGAAAACGCAATATTATCAAAACACCAAACTTCACAAGCAACAGTAGCAGCCAGGAGGATATTGACTCTATCCTTAAGTATCATCAGAATATGCAAGAGAAAGTAGCAGAGAATATGGTGATGTTAACTAAGAATTTAAAAGAGCAGTCGCAAATAGCAAGCACGATCATCAGAGGAGACACTGAGGTAACTCGCCATTGAAACATATTATTTTAAATGTCAATAAAGAAACAACACAATTGTATTTTTTTATGTCATCGGAATTGAAAACAATCTGACAACCCATAGTAGCTGTTGTCTATACATATATGTGAACATCACTAAGAATATTTATTACATTATCATGTACTATATACACATATATTATTAATGTAATTTTACTGCCTTATTTCCCTTCAACTGAAACAGTACACAAAGTCCAAAAATAGGTGAAACTTGGGTACTTACTTAGCTAAAGATTTGTTTTTGCAAAGTCTTGGTATATAGATATTATTGTATATTTATATATTATATTATATTATATATTACTGTCAATTAGGCTTAGTATCAAGATATTTAGGTATCAAGTGGCACACATTGAGCTTAACACATACCATAGTGAGACTCACAGTTATGATTGTCATTAATCCTTATAAAAATATTTTTGTAATAGAGTATGGTAATGCTTACCACTCTTCATAAGAGGGGTCATCAGCTTCTATGTTAATCCAGTTGTATACATAAAATTTATATTAAAGATTTCTTATACCCCACATATTCTTATCACAATACATACTTATAATAGGGGAGGGTTGTTGAATTAGTGGTTAGGACAGATGATGAATTCACAATGTTAAGCCAACTTACCTGTCTTCACACTCATTCTATCTTCATCCACTGGAGTACCATTTTATAATCTTCCATTAAAAAAAAATACTTTAATTTTTATAGTTACTAAATTTACCTATATTATTTTAATCCATAATTTTGAATATGATTCTTCAAATACTTACACACGCGAAATTGTATTTGTAATTATATTTTCTAATTATTTCATTTACAGGCATTGAAGAATTCATCTGACTTGACTGACCGCAACATGATGTCACTGAAGAATGAATCAGAGCGTTTGGGTGAGCACAGTCGAAGTGCATGGAAGTGCTGGCTCTGGATCATGCTGGCTGTAGTTATGGTTATATTTATAAGTAAGTATTGCACTGAGGTAGACTTTGTAAATAGTCGTCAATTTCAATTAAGTGTAAGATAAAGCTAAAAAATATAGGATAATAGGCTTGACATCTTACTTTTGCAGAATCGCAACGCATAAGGGTCTTGCGGGCTTTTCAAGACAAGGACACGCTTGTAATGGTGTTCATGTATATAGGCGACAGTTACTATTTTGCTAAAAAATAGTTTCGTAAACCTATATTTTCGTATAGTGCTCCCACGAAAATATAGGTTTATGAAACTGTGCTATGTGTATGCATTGGCGGGGCACCAGTTGTGGGTAGATGATGGAATAAGGACGAATACGAAATAATAACTAATATATGTATAATAACTAAAATAAAAATCAAATAATAACTAATGTAATTCATCCTAATTAAGTATTAAGTAAATAACGTATATAAAGATAAGTGAGAATTATATTTGTTGCAGATATGGTGCTATTTATGAAAGTTATGAAGAAAAGAAAATATGATGCTAATTAAGGTAGGTGTGTACAGTAAGCTTAAATAACATTAATATATTTAGAAGTATATTTACTGTGTAATATATTGTCATATTTAAACCATCTCTTATATGTCACTGTATGTAACCATTAACTAAAAATGTGCAATAAACATTTTAACGTAGAAATTTGTTTGATTCTAATTCTGGTGTACTAACTTTAGTGTTACATGGGACCGTTGAAATCGAATTAAAATTAATGAAAATAAACAAGTGTATTAAGTAAATCTTAACCTTATCAACTTACAAAAGGAGTTGCTTTTCAAATCCCCTTACATCTGAATCAGCTTGTTTGCCGTTTTACTATTCTGCTGATATAAATTATAATTTGTAAAGATGTGTGGCTATTGAAATGTTGGTAGGTATATTTGTTTTGCAATCATGACTTAAATTGCATTTACCATGTTAGGTCGACTTTCATGCTGTTTCTTCAGGAAACCATGGTGGTTAATTGATGAATTCGCTATTATGGGCACACTATACTTCACTTCATCCTCATCCTGTAATCCTCCACTGATGGCTCGTATTGGCATTAGCGAATGCGAGTGCACCATTCCATTGTCAGCCATTAAAAATGGCGCAGTATATTTCAATTAAATTTAGTACAGGAAGCATGTTTCTAAACCTTTCAGTAGGTAATTACAATACATTAATAAATGTATAGATTTGAAGCTAAATGAATTTCATCAATTTATGAAGCTTTTTATGTATTTTTATCCTATTTATGACTCCAAAGCGGAAATGTATGCAGATAGATTTCTATTATTACTATATTGACCACCGAAGCTGTCATAGTAATAAAAAATTATCATTAGAAATGAAAGAAATTAAATAATTAATCATTTATTATATATACATATTGCCATCTACAGAATGAGTTCTAATAGTTCATGTCAAAACGTACCAAATATATTTTTGGACAATTTTTTTTAAATTATTTGAATTCTTCGCACATTATAGCATAGTGTAATGTGAGAGACATACACATAACTACAATGACACTTACAACTGGCGCCCTCATCATGCTATAGTGTACAAAGAGTATTTTTAACTACTCGCATCTCTAAATTTAGAGTTTTAGATAACAATAAAATAAATATATGAAAATAGTATCCTACATAACAATAAATAATTCTCATTATATTTTTTAAATATAATTTATATCAAGTATCATTGTCATTAATTTCTGTATTTACTACTCAACGACTAATAAATTTGCAATTTCTATTATAATTATTAGGATTAAATTAATAGAACTTACTTCATTCTAATACAATACCTTCAATAATATTTTAATTTATCAATATATTTTCACCAATTTTGTGCGTAGATTATATTGGACCAAGTATTCCAAATATCAAATTCTTTTTTTTTATTTACGGACGATGTTATCAAATATATTGTATGAATATAATGACTAAATATTTTATTAATCTTAGATAAAGACTGTCTTTAATAATAGTAGTCCTTTAATATATAAATATGGTTACATTTTGCAGTATTTATTATATATTTAATGCGCAGAATATGCTTGCATCTAAGCGTTTTAATTCATATATAATTTGTAAACCTAATAGTAGGTATTCGAGTTACTTTATGAAATCTTTATGTCTATCTTATCCTAATTAGAAAATAATATTAAACAGATAATGAAATCGGTTTATAAGTCAAAAACAAATTAAAATTTTGATTAATTTTGAACAAAATGTATAACGAATAGAAAATGTTTCACGTATAAAAATGTGTGAAACTTCTAAATTAAGGTTATAATGAGGTAAGATTTGTATTTTTGTATGTATGTAACGAATAAAACCAAAACTACTGGATAGAGATAAAAAGAAATATTTGCCATTAAAATTCTACATTATTCCTGAATAACATACACAATATTTATTAACTGAAAAAATTAGGGATCCCTACTTAAACTTCAATAATGTAACCCAAATTGTAAAAAAATATCTACCCGTGCTAAGCCAGATCGGCGCGCTAGTAGGTATGATAAACAAGTCTTACACTATATAATTGTGTATTATATACGTCTCACTGATTTATATTTGAATTTTAAACATTATGCACTTTGTTACTGGCCGTCAAAGCGAATTTCATTCGCATCCATGTTTAAAGCATTTCTCTATATTCATATTTACGTAAAGCTCTAATTGGTTGGAACTTCTTATTATAACATTTAGTCTACTTCTTATCGTATACATCTGCCAATTCAAACTTCCAGATTTTGTTTGGTCCTATCTCTGTAACATACAGATGCGATCCGTTTCTAGTTACAGCCAATGAGTGTGGGTTGGTGAAGCCCTGTAAAATAATATTTATCAAAAATAAATTATAGTTACAAGATACCAGGCATGATAGTTTTAGTCTTATCTGTCCATGTAGGCAACGATTACCACTAATCATCCGATTACATAAAAAAATATTCTGTAAGAGCAAGCATATTGAAAGAAGAGGAAATTTACATTTTTTTTTTAAATTTTTCAAAAAATAATTTAATGATTTGCAATATTTCGTTATTAAATCTAAACAGATATCGATAATTCTTGTTACTATAGTCTTTTCGTTTAGTGTAGTTTAAAGAAATCCACGATTGCTACTATTTAAACAACTATTACTATGTTGGTTGGTGAAACTTAATAAACTTAGATTTTCATCACCAAAAAGTCTAATACACACATCCACATAAATTTGCCAATATACAAATAGTCATTTATAATTTATTGTTATTTTAGTGCACGGCATGACGTTTAACAGGGATCGAAATTTAATGTAATTTTATGCAAAAACTGACTAATGTCTTTAATGAATGTATATCAACGCACAGCCTTATAAATTAATCAACTATAGGCATGATGGGGGATTTTAGTAATGGGTATTAATAACTACAGTGCTAGCAATGTCAACTAATCGTGATTAATTCCTGATGAATTTGACCTGACTAATAGACTAAATAATCCTCCACTGCCCGCCAATGTACTACGTTAGCGCAGGAAAGTGCATTAGTATGTAAAATATCGATCATTTAAAAAAAAGCTTGTGGAAATACGATACAATGTTATTCTTAGATCAGATTGACCATGTACACGGGTAATCTGATTGTAAATTAATCTACTTTTACCTTGTACTTATACCTATATATAGTGTTTTGTATATATCTTCCTTCATTCTTTGGACATCATCCTACTACGATCCTACTACATATGTATTAAGCATTATACTCACAGTACTCGGCTCCCAAGTATCCAAGATATTTCCATAAACTGCATTCACTGTGAATCCCCTCACCGCTATATTTTGCGCCGTCGGTCCATTAACTGCGTAAATAGTATCCCCATGAGACGTAACAGCAAACACGCGGCCCAAAGTTGGGTCCTGTATGACTGTTGCAGGCTCTAACATTTTAATGTAGCTCTTCAATCCAGCCTTCGGGCATACGATTCTCATGTTTTCTCTATCAGCCACGCATACGATGTCCAAATGTTCCAATAAAGTCACGCTGTGGGGAAGGTTCAAGGTTAAGGTATCAGAGTAAGAGGGGATCGCTAACAGCAATGTTCCTGCTGCATTGAATTTTAGGATCTGGTTGTTGCAATAGCCATCAGCAACAAAGATTTCTCCTGTAGTCGCAACAGCTACAGCTGTAGGCATGCAGAGAAGCACTCGACGTCTGTATGGGTAACCAGCGGTAAACGCTTCACCAATCGTTAAACTCGGGTATTTGTGATTGTTAGGTGTATACTGAAAAAAGTGAAATATATGTCAAAATTTTAAGTGAAAAATCTTAGTTAGATACTACTCGTAGTATGTCAAATATAATTATCATTTTGTATTTAGGATTACAAAACTTAACTTAACTGATACAGTCTAGTCTTCTACAGAGTATTCAGTACTCTCATTTAGTATATTTGTGAAACTAAACGGGTGCAATTTTAAAAAGATGTCTCCTTTAAAGTTATAGAATTTATACATTCTATTATGCTATGTAGGTAGATAAATATTAGGTAAATTGTATGTACACATTATAAACTATCTAATATGTTTTAGTCTCCTACATTTCTATATGTAGCTACTGTAAGGTATACAGCGCTCGTGACATATCCTAACCGCTCAGTAAGTCAGGTAATGTGTACAGTTAACGGACACCACACGCATACCTCTTTAGTTAGATAGTTATCACCCGTTAGCAGATTAAATCAACAGCACTCGGATAAATCTATTTAAAGTTTTACAAATTACCTTAAAAACTTGATGTTTTGCCACGTCGGTGACCCATACGTTGTCGTGGTGGTCGACTGTCAAACCATGCGGCATGTAAAATGCATACGCTCCCCAACTATGAAGCACTGAACCAGTGTTGGGATCAAGAACCAAAATGGTATCCTCGATGATTGGCCCTTTATCCAAATTTTGGTATACGTTTGATTCATTGAATGTACTGTAAATACAATTTAATTATAAACATGAATTATAATATTCTTTTTAAAATAAGATTTGTATATGTATAATGGCTTACAAATTAGGCTTTGATGAATATGTGATAACTACTTAATAGTGGATATAAATTAAATTAACCTAAACAGGATAACGTTGCAATATTTTGTTATTGTTCTCCGAACTTCATTGAAGAGCCCAGCTCGTTATAATCACAATTTGCAGTTTTATCAATTTTTAAGTTGACGCTGGAGAGACTCGCAATAAATTCGATTATAAGATTTGGTGACATGAGTATTGTCGTTAAATAAACACAAATTATTCGCCATATTATTTCAGATACAAATACAATATTCAAGAGAAATTACCTTTCATCCCATACTCTTTCCGCTCTGTGAAAAATCACTGGTTGTCCTAGAGAATTAATTGACACTGCTGTGATTTGTCCCACGTTCAATGATTGTTGTGGCCAGTCTTTCACTTCTTGAGGCCTCAATACTATTTCGTCTTTTGGCTGAAATATAAAATTATTAACTCTGTTATTTATTCTATAAACGTTTATTTTAAAAAAAGTAATATTACTTACCAAATGAAGGTCCAAATTTTTAAGCAAATCGTCGTTGGAACCATAACTGAAATAGTCAAAATTATCTCTGACAGTTTCCGGTTCGCAATTAATTATTGCAAAAACTGAGAGGAATAGTAGAATCCGCAACATTTTGAGAGATTTGTTGTTATGCGACTATTGGTAAAGTGTGTCCGCTATTGCGAGGTCTTTATTGATTACTGTTACTTGAGTGTGGAAGGTACGCATGCGCTTTCCAGCAACATCAGCACGCAGCGTATCTCAAGGTCGATTTTGGGGAAAGGCATCTAAGCTATCAGAAATGAAAATCAGATTACGTAAACATATTTTTATTCAGACATTTCACAAGTCTTCAGTATGAAGAGATCACATTATATTTACAATTTGCACGCAACAAATCAATGACATTATTATAGGTTACATAATTATGAAAATATAAGAAGGAATCTTATATAATTTATACTGAATCAGTCTCAAATTAGAATCGTTGTTAAGTTGGCACAATCACAGTTAAAGACGTTTACAATTCTTGATAAACTAGAGCAGCACATGTTATACCTAGCAATTTGTTGAAATTCACTGTCCACGCCATTGAGAATTAGGTTGATCCCAAATGTATCCCGTTTCTGTCATAGAACACACTGCGTTGTAATATCTGCCTGGACTCCGGCAGTAGGACCACGAGGGGCATTTGCATCTGAACAGTATTTGAAATTCCTCTTTGCAAACTTCATTCCACCAGCACGTCCTCTGTAATTACAACACTTATTATATATTTCACTCTATCTTTAATTGTGATTTTACATTGATAATGAAATGTTATTCTTTTATGCTTGAAAACACGTGTTGCCGTACTTTAACTTAATGCAATTGTCATTTACCTCAGTAATATAACCCCTTACAGATTGGTCTGAATGGCTTCTTTTCACAACGCAAGCCGTTTCCTGCATAGCACTCAACATAATAATACATACGAACGTTACATATTGCCTCTGAAACGTAAATTTGTTTTCACTATAACACAAACACATGTAAAATGAACGCACACACTTCTATAAGTCATTCTTACCTTAATCATAGCAGATATCTGATCTAAAAATAGAAAATTGACGTGCAGCGTAACCTTTCATTTCACGCCCTGTATGGGAGCTTTAAAGCTTTGCTGTGTAGTCGTAACGCTGCGAAGTTATTCACATGTCCCCAATTGTGATTATATTTTAAATCTTATTCAAAATTATATTTAATACTAATTATTTTATTGTTATTATACGTGTTTTTGTATTAATGTACTAACTATAAAATAAATATACAACTATTTTGAAATAAAATATAAAATTACAAGTTTAGGATTTTGTATCAAACTTTTTAATTTGATATTAAATTTTATTATAAAATATTACTTGAGGTATATTATATTGTCGATATCCATAGCTTAACCTAACGGCATTTACTGTGTCTTCAATCAATTATGTGCTTTATTCTCTTACAGTAAGCAATATTCTTACTGATACATATTTAGGTGTAATAGACTAGATAAATATAGTAAATAACACAAACTGATGAAACTTAACGAATTTATTACGATTTTTTATCTTATTAATTACATTACAAAATTCACTAGCTAGATAGGACTTCCGCGATATTCTTTCTTAATCGTGATAAAAGACTAACAATAAATAGCGATGAGCAGGCCCTAAGTATTAAAATAAAAAGTATTATTATAAAGAAATTTTACGAGTTCTATTTAACATAGTGATTGCATTATTATCACATTTGCGCAAAATAAAAATCTTTATAAATATTGTATAGAAATATCTAAAGTAATATATAATAAAACTTTCAATAAAATGAAAAATATATACAACAAGTAATAGTTAAGTTCATTTTTTACCTACTAAAGAGATAAAATGGCACTAGATGTAAACAATAAATAACAAACATAATTTACATTCAACTTTGGTCGGAAACTACCACTACATTTGGGATACTTCTCACAGGACACCTATGGAGGAATCATAAATTTTCTACATAGCTTTCAATTGATCTATATTGTTTTCATCGATTTCTGTTTCTTCCTGTCTTCTGTGCATGTCTTCTGCATCTTTCCTGCAAATTATAGCGTAGTTAGTATTAGTACTGGTCTCTTTAACGTAGTTAGTATTTACCTAGTACCTTAAATATCTAATGTCTATTGATATAATATTACAAGAAAAAAAAATATTTATGCTCTCGTGTTTGGAATTGCAAACAAGCTGACAGCCCATCTGCATTACACGTCACCATGGTCGGCCTATTGAATATATTTTAACATTCGTATTACAGCATGAGTTGCTATTCTTGAAGTTTGTGGTGCCATACCTTGTATTATAATTTCATTCACACATCTTACCATTCCAACTCGAACACAGCTTGCAAAGCAGGTTCCTGGCGCTAGAATTAGGTGAGACAGAGAACTATGCAGACCTATAAAGTATATCAAATAAAACAGAGAATACTTACGAATACTTATTTGGGGATGCCTGGAATATGCTCTTAGGACAAAGTCGGAAATAAGGCCAGCATTCACCTCCCGCTTCACTCCCTGCCTTCTCGGCTTCCACGTACTCATTCAGGAGATTCGCGTAGGGGGATTTACTTGGACTGAAAATATAAAAAAATGTTACATATAGTTAGCGTTGTTATATAAAGCTTTCATGGGCAAGGTCTACTAGGTAATTAGTAAAAGATTTCCTTCAAGACAAAAATGTGGTAGACTTTGTAATGAACAGCATTTCCAAAGTATGTATTATAATTAAACAAAATTATTTTGATAAAGTTTTATCAAAATCATTTTATCTAATATTATAATAGCTTATACATAAGTATAACACACATAGGCAATAAATTTCACGCGAGAGAAACCGCGAGCACATCTAGTCATATAATTATGTCAGTAATGAAAATAAATAATGAGTTATTTAAAAACAACTACAGCTATTAAAACAAACTATTATTTACTGCACTTACGTAAAGAACAATTTAATAATTTCTCCAAGGAAACCAAAGTTGGTAAGTGGATGCGCCTGTACCTCGCATATCGCACGTAATAAGCATTCTTTACCGGACAGTCCAAAATTTGCTAAAAGGTCTTCTGCCGCTCCGTATAAAAGAGCTCTGAAAGAAATTTAAAAAAAAATTATACGAATAAGAGTAAATCTTTCTTAGAAAATTAGACTTTTTTTTTTATTAATAACCGACTACCGAAATTTAGTTTCAAAGCGGATGCAAAGAAATATTATAATACATGCTTATTATTTACTAACACGCGAATTTCCCGAAGGAATAGGATTCTCTCGAAATGATAATGTCATCTGTGGTCTCACAACTATTCACAAATTACGATCAGCATATGCGTTATAATAAAGAAATGACGACTAATTATTATCATAGAGAATTATAATAGACTATAACATGATTTAATGTACTGAGATATTTTAATCTTATAAATAACATGATTCTAGATTACGAATATATTCGCAATATTTTGACCTTAATAGTATTTTTCTAATATTGTGTAACTCTTACTCTACGAAACGTTCTAGGAATTTCAATTGATTTTCCACGAATAGCCAGCGTACTTCCTGTAACCATAACAAAACAAAATCGCGAGTCGAATTCCTAATGATTATTGGTATCCACATACGAGGGTGAAAGTATAAAATCTACATACTGCTTACTGTCTTCTGTCCACGTGGTAGGTACATGTTAGGCAGGCCGATAAAAATGTGTCAATTGCTTTTGTGTAGCCTGTTGTCTCAAGAATTTATTGTCAGTCTCCGTTATTACGAGCTCATTCATTTATGTCACTATTTGTTACGGTTTACGTAGATATTTCTTTTAGAATTTAACAATATTTAGAAAATGTTTCGTTGTTTTTATATGTATAAAAACAACGAAACTAAAATTTTAATGGTGCGGATATGGTTTAGTAAATACTTAATAATAAGTTAATTCTTGCATTTTAGATTATTTTGTCAATATTATTTTTTGTGATGTATATATATTTTCGTTACTAATTGTATCTGCTTCATTGTAGTTAGTAGGTATATCAGTTGATGGAATTACTCATGATTTCGAAATTTCTTACCTTTCTCCACCATGCAATCTATCCAACACCACTTTTTCCATGTCAGGGGGAACATCTTCGGACCTCTTCCCTCTTCGTCTCTCTAAGTACTGGCCCACGTAATCAGACATCATGGAGACAGCAGCTCGGCCCATTGACCTCGCGAAAATTGGAGGAAAATCCCCATATGGATTTTCATTATCAGTTAGACCCAGCTTGTCGAAGTCAACTGCAATGTTACATAGCGTAAGCTTATTTTGTTCATTTATTATTTTGAACATAATAAAAAATCATATTCATAGCAGATTTATTACTGCTAGAATTTAAATCTTTACATATTCAAAATGTGAAAGTAGGTTTTATTTGTTTGTTACCCTTAGCGCAATAACGGTTCAAGTAAATATTATAAAATTTCGCTTGGAGAAGAACATATGTTACTTTTATCTAGGTCAATTTATATGTCTTGCTAACGAGAATGAAACCACAGGTAAAAACTAGTTCTCAATATATTAGCTATACTTATAACATTCAAGCTTTGAGGAAAATCACTGTAATTCTTAGAAGTATAGGTTCAAGTAGAAGTTGATTAAAGTAAAAAATATATTCAGTTTAAATATACTGTTTAGAATTTAATTATTTTTTATACGGATTAACATAGCCAACATTTTAATACGGCATACAGCATTTCAATACGTATCTAAACTAATAATACTAATATAATATAATATTATATAGCTGAAGAGTTTGTTTGTTTGAACGCGCTTATCTCAGGAACTACTGGTTCGAATTGAAAAATTCTTTTTATGTTGGACAATCCATTGTCGATGAAGGCTTTAAGCTATATAAATTTACGCTATGACCAATAAAAGCGAATTATCGGTGAAAATGTTGCAAAAACGGGGAAGACTATACATATGTATGTATTTGAGTGCTTCCGTTGCGTGCGCTGTGAGAACGAAGTCGGGGCACAGCTATTTATATATATTAGAATAATGTATTTTACCCTGGAACTAGAATACCTTTTTATATAATAATTTATATTGCATATACTGTTTATAATGATGTTACTCGCCAATTTGTTGGGATCCGATACAATCCGGGTCGATCGAGTGCCAAATCGTTTCATACATTGTCAGTTAAAGATACATTTACAATTAAGTAAGTAAGTACATTGGTGCAAGAGAAGTCTGCTGTGGCTCGCCTTTTAAGAATATCTAGGTTGAATCATCTTTTTATGACGGGAGACCTAGATGTGATTACAATTAAATACTATGAAGATGATGATAATAAAGAAACACTTGCATTAATGTAATCAATTTTTAATATTATGTGGTTAATTAGTGAAATCATACTAAACACAGATACTTACTAGTAAAAGGAAAACTAACTGTCATATTTGACAAAAATCCTTTTGGTGGATGTCTGACGAATGGCATCGACAATGAAGGTGTGATGGTCATTGTAGTTCCTGGGGGCAACGCCAGTCGCCCATCATTTGTGATCCAAAGTATTCTTTTCTGTCTTGAATGGGGAATGTTCTCCTTTGATAACCGCTCCTGACTGTTTGGAGAGGCCATTGGCAGGAGGGCCGCTAGTGCTATGCTGAGTAATACGCGCGGTACTGTCGCGTCCATAGCCAACCTGGGATAATAATAAAAAACTTTACTAAATGTAAAATATTTGTTTGTCATATTACATGTTATGGACGTAGTAAGAATATATTACAGTAGGCATAAATGACTTTGCTTTAATTTATACTGTCTATAAGACATAAAGATTTAATAAAAAATCTTTGTCAGTAGGTTGGTAATATAAATAAGCTTATGGTGTAAAATGTCGCTTAATTTAATTGACATAAATGACAGCTCTGTTAATAAACAACATATTTTTGTTGCTTTTATTTAGATTTATATATAGTTTACTAAAAATATTAATCTCAGAAATATGTTAAAAATATCCGACTGCAATCACTTACGTATTGGAAATAGTAATGCTTATGGTATGGACGTAGAAAAAATCGTACAGTCTATAGAAAAAGAATATAAAGTTGACATTAGATCTTTGCCACAATGGAAGGAATTGGTGAAAAGAATTATCTTAACTACTACCGATTGTAATAGAAGAATTCAAGACTCCAAACATCGTAAAATGTATATAATCCAAAAACTCTATACTGAGCATGTAAGACTGTCGCCATTCGAATTAACAAATAATTTGGCAAGGACTTCAAAAAAATGGCAAAATATGGAGAATCAAAAGCACAGACAAAAGATTTCATTAAACTTAAACACAGATATAAGTGCTCCCCAGAGTTCCTATACCTCCTTGGTAGAAACTAGTGATGGGAAACTCACTGCACATCCAAATACAGAAATACTACCCTCTGAAGAAATGATTGAAATGCCATTAAAATCTGAGCCCGAAATTGAAGCAAAAATCAGCACATTATCACATTTACCAGTTAATATTTGTATTAATCAACATAAAGTTGTATCACCTCTTACTACCCCGTACAGTTACTTAAGTTACAAGACAAAATCGACTTACGAAGAACTTGAGATGAAAACAATCAGTGAAAGGAATGAGAAAGAATCGTTGCTATTGAATAAGTCATTATCAATAATTTCTTCCCCAAAGGAAATTATAGTATATAAAGACTCATTACAAAAACAAGTTATAAAATTTTCCCTAACAAATCATTCTACAAAATTTGTTTATATAAGGTTTGTTCGTGTGACAAACAAACTACCATTTAGATGGGCAAGTATTTCACCAGTCACTTCCGTTAAATTATGTCCTGGAATATCAAATGAATATAGGTTCATATTTAAATTGTTACAAAACATAGAGGATTTTGAGTCCTACTTGTACTTCAAAATAGGTCATGATGCCTTGACCCAAGCACCATTTGAAGCTGTATGTATACCTATACAAAGTAGATTTAACGTATCTAAACCAGTATCAGTATCTAAAGTTGTATTTATACCACCTACCTACCCATGGCACTTGAGAAATGATTGTGGATTTCCTTCAGGATACATTAAACTATCTGTTGATAAAAATACTTACAATTTACATATAATAAAAAGGATAGTCGATTTTACTGCACAATCAAAAGATGACCTATCGTCATTAAAAGTTATGTGTCCAAATACAGAAAGCTTGAAAGACAGGACAGAAGATCAGCAAATTGAAACACAAAGTAAGTTGCTAACTTATAAAGACAATCTGCATGACATAACAAGCATAAAGTCAATAGATGTAATCATATTAGTTGTCAATGATATTATTGAACTCGCGTTAAATACCTTTATTTTTGAACATAGTTATTTGAAATTGCTACCACATTCAAAACATAAAATATTGGTTTACTTTACAAAAGTTGAACGCATTGGCAGTCATCATAGCTATTACGATTTTGAATTTTACGATCCTAATACAGAAAAATTAATAATGACTAAAGAAGTAAAAATTTTTGCCGAAGTACTACCTCATCCTATAACTATATATCCTAGTATACTTGATATGTCTAAATCTCCAATGATGTATGGGTTTTGCGAAGATTATTTTACTATTACAAACAGCAACAAAGTATATCCAGTTACTATTAAAATTATGTTAACTACAAAAATGAAAAAGATTCTACATATAAGACCAACGGAAACATTACTTCCTGCAACATCTAGTGTGAAATTTGAAGTAAAATTTTGCTCCCCGGGATTAATAGTGTACATATCCGACGATTTAGTACTCTTTACATTCAAGATTATAATTAAAGGAAATCAAACTATATACCATCACGTGCCACCTTTTTTCTACGAAATCATAGCTCCATGTGTTCCAGAGTACAAGAAATATTATGGAGAGTAATCTAATCTTAATCACTTGACCCTTCCAAACAATATTAAATTATCTTCACAGCATCTATTGAAAGTAATAAAGTAAATAAATTCGTTTTATTACGTGGTCAGTATGATGTGTTGCCTCTATAAAAAAAGTAGGATATGTGTAAGAATGTCGCTAGGAGGGAGGCAAGGATTAAACCTGTTGGTCGAGTTGCCGTATGTATTACAGGTCAAGTGAGTTGATTGCCTGAACCCGCATAATATTCCAGTCCAGATCTGCAGGTCACACATGAACCGGTTTCGCGACACAATCGATTGTAAATCAAAGTAAACAGTGATGAAGTATATTGTATGCAAACTTATATATTACGATTGAACGATCATCGTAAATGTTCGATTAAATCGAGATGAAATATTCATTCGATTTTGCACTGTATTTGGTGTTACATTAGTTATGTATTTAACTTTAGTTGAATTACTTTGGTATTGTGCTGTGTGGTAGATAGTTTAGGTATATGATGCATATAAAATTTGACAATTGTAAAATTCTGTTTTCCTTGAAAAATACCACATCTGTACTTATTATCTTTGTCAATTAATACAAATAGTGGCAGAATCATAAAAAACCTATTGTTTTTTATGATTCTACGTCTACGTACGTACTACGAACAGTTTTTATATTATGTATATCTACTGTATGAATAAAGATTATATCTATTTGATCTATTTCCATTAGCGTAGCTGGTAACATTTCAAAATAATTGGTACTAATGATTTAAAGTTGGAGATTAAATCAGCACTGAGGCTATTTACTACTACCTACAGTATTGAGAACGTATAAAAGACTTCAAATTTATTATTTGTTATAATTTTATTACGTTTAAGTACATTGTTCTCTCATTTGTTGAAAATATATATCCTGTTATGGCACATGCATTAATGCAGTATTTTAAGATGCAGTATTTAGTTACGTCATTACACTAATTATATTCAAATTATTTTGTTGATATACAATTGTTATTACTAAACTATTGCAACTGCATTGCGTGAAATAAACTTAAATATGTAGTGATTATCTGATTAGATGTAAGATGTACAATAACTAGTAAATTTAAATTATTTGATATAAACTTAATATTAGTTAATTAATGTATACCTGATGTATTAAATAACTTCATATCCACATTTGCCACAATTAAACTACTAAGGTCTGAAGGAACAAATACCATTACCATTGTACCTGCTAAACTCCCGGGCAGCGAACTGCATTGGAATAGATAGACAATTATTTTATTACATATTTTTATTAGTTATATAGATAGAATGTGCGGAAAGCCCTCCACAAATGGCGTACCCAGATGGGTCGCTTCAGGCGCAATACTTCTAAAATGGGGAAACGCATAAGCGTTCGGGAGTCGTGCGATTACGGATCTCCGTCATAAACCAAGTCCTATTTCCTGTTCGAAGGAAGACCACCGACCGAGGAATAGAAGTCGCTAAAGTCTGGTCTAATAATAATTAGATTACCATTGATATGAAAGAAAGAGGAAGGTACAACTGCGAGAAAATTCAATATGCGGCCTAACCGATTCTCTTCTTCCTCTTGTAGGTCTCGTAAACTTACTTGACCTGCATAAAATGAATTCTCAATTTGAACCAATGTTGTGCATCACCAAATGACAATCGATTTTATCGATATATTTAAATTACAATCACGAATACTTTTTGTTTTTGTTTATATATAGCTTTCACCACAAAACTGTTTACCATTTTTGGACACCCTAATATTTGCTAAGTACAAATATGTGTATGTGTGTATAATTAAAAGTACTAAAGTTTGTGAATACATGGTAGCATACATGGCCCCATAAACTTGTTGGACATAAAATTGGTATAAACAAACTTTTGCAAATTATTTTCTTTTAGCTATAATTTACACACGAACAAAATATATCTTAACAATGATTAAGGATATTATAAATCATCCGTTCAATAAATTCTAATTTGTTGGGTAAAATCTATTACTCTTTAAACTATTATTTAGTAGACAAACTTACTTGTCAGTGCATACAGCTAGTTGTTTTAGCATGGGAATTTTAAAGTATTAAACATCTGGGTGTTTTCTATGTATATGTATTATGTATCTATTTTCAAAACAGTGTATTTATTTTTTTCACATTTATATCACTTGGCGAATACCCATAACACAAGCTCTGCTTAGCTTGGAACGCGTGTGCGTTAGGTGACGCTGTGTGAATAATCCTGGTGTTATCATAGTTAGCAAATTATCGGAGTTAGTAACGTATTTCAAATTTAAAAAATTAATTACATACTAATTACATAAAAGCTTTTATTACTACAATTTGCCGCGCCCAAGCGTATTGTAATGTTGCTTGAAAACAGCAGACTGTGAATTCAAAAGGTCACATGCAGTAATCTCACTTGACCGCACGCCCTTCACAGTGCATTCAACGACGCACGGAAATGATATTTGGCCCTAAAAGGCGATTAGTAAACTGCTATGGCGGTAGATAAACTAACGGTTCTATGTTTAAATTTTTTTTAGGATTGGACTGATAACTTTGCTCATGCAGTAATATCAATATAATGGGTTTCGTAAAATCGTCCGTTGTGTGTGTCTTCAATTCTATTACAGTAGAGTTACAGATTATGTATACATAATCTGTACTAGTCCATTATTTAAATTATTACATCGATACAGATTTAAACATTGAAAAAAATTTAAGATTTTTATTTACCTTAATGTCAAATAATAAATTATTATTTACAATAAATTAATAACGCTTGACAACCATATATAAAAAAATACCAATACAAAATCATACTTATGTATATATGATATATATAATATTATATATATGTGATATGTATATATATAATATTTGCACTGGGGCTAAATTTTGCATCGGGGCTGAAGCTGAGATTATCAGAAAATCAAGTAACTAGATCGCTAGACCTCCTATGTCGCCTATTTAGACTTTAGGCATAAATCTAGTTCACGTGATATATAACGTAGCGTATGTTAACCACATCAACTCGATTGAGGTCGTACCATATTCTACAAAGCCTCAAGCTGGTGCTATAAAACGGTCCTTGTGAAAACAATAACACATTTCGGTTAGATGAAATAGCCCGATTTGTACCGCAACAAAAGATTCACGTCGGCACGAAGCTTTTGCGAAGAGCTACTGCCAATCTTAAATTGTTAGACAACCGCATACTGTACACGTACTGTCAAATATTTTGAGATTTATATTCTTATTTAAAAACCTTTATTTACCTTCAACCAAAAGAAATATAATACAGTAGTAGGTGGACTTAATGCTAGAAGCATTGTCTACCAATTAACCTTTAGGATGAATTCACGAATGCGGTATTAATTTAAATGTGTTTTGTTTTTACATATGAAATAGGTGTAATGTCGTCTTTAAACATACATAGATAGTATAACTGATATCACAAAATATAGTTTATAACCCCCGATACGTTTTATAAGTGCCTACGTGGTGTGTGCTTTCATACACTATATTTTTTATTACCACCTGACCCCTCATTCTGGAATGGATACAGCTTACAAAGCATACTGCTTGCGGCAGACTTTTTTTTTATTTATAACACAGGGGACAAACGAGCATGCGGCTCACCTGATGGTAAGTGAATACCGCCGCCCGCAACAGCAGGGGAAATGCAAGTACGTTGTCGGCCTTTTAAAAAGGAATAAGCTCTTTTGTTGAAGGTTTCAATATCGTATAGGTTCGGAAATACCATTGTTGGAAAGTGATTCTACAATGTGGTTGTTCGTGGCAAAAAGTTTCTAGAAAACCGCACTGCGGAGGACTGCCATTCATCCAGATGATCAGGATGGTATTTTAGTTTCTGACGGGTGGTACGGTGGTGAAACTCAGCAGCTGGTATTAATCCGGACAATTCCTCAGAACACTCCTCGTGATATATGCGCAAGAAATTTGGGAGATAGAGTATAGATAAGGTAATGTTTTGGAACAAAAATTTTTATGACTCGAAAGTGCTACGTCGTATTTTGAATCGTTAACTTATTGCATATGTTATTTTCTAATTTACTACTTATGATTAAAATATACTATTACTAATTTACTACTTACGATTGAATTATCTATAGGTAATTGACATATTTTGGTATAATCCGGCTAGTAGACTAGCATACTCATTTTCCGGTTTTAGTAGTTACAGAGAATATTTGAAAGTATAATCTATTTTAAAATGGACATGTACATATGTTACGTAACACAGCACGTAAATATATAGCGAGAATTTTTGGTTATAGTATAGACTATATATTTTACTCTGCATAAATATATAATTTGAAGTAGTATTTTGTGAAAAAGATTTATAAATAGTTTTACTGAACCGGGTTCAATATAACGTAGACGTAGTGTAGACGTAAACGTAGTGTAGGACGCCCGGCCCCGCAGCTAGGTGGAGCGACGACATACGTAGGGTTGCGGGTAAAAACTGGAAGAGAAGGGCTGAAGATAGTGCCCCATGGCGTGCCTTGGGAGAGGCGTATGTCCAGCAGTGGACTGATTTTGATGATGATGGGTTCAATATACAAATGGGATTGAAATTAAGTCTGAGAAGATTTCATTTCTAACACCATTACATTAAAAATGAGGAAATTTTTGATGATGAAACAATTGCACTTTTAACTTATTTGCTAGTAATTTCAAAATGATGAAAATAGTTAAACTTCACCCTAGTTAGTAGAAATATTGTGTCTACAATTGAGTATTATTAAAAAATAATTGTGTAAAATTTATGTTTAAAGAAATTCTTCAAATAATATATATTCAATTTTCCTTTCATAAAATAATAATAGATTTATAAATAAGTAGCTTCTTCATAGTTGGTTTTCAACCGAAGTTCGTTCTTGTTTGACTTCATTTTGTGTAGGGATATGTCTGTGCCAATTCTACACCATATTATATATACTACTATTGTTTTTTTACTATAATTAAATACTGCCTAACCTGCATTATCATCTCTATTGTAACCGGTTTTATTATTATGCAACATAATTGTTATATTATGCAAATAATCATCCATTATTCAGTAGAAGTAAATTTTTATCCACAATTTAATAACACTTTCCTAATTAATAAAGTAGTCATAAAATTAAGAATAAAGCAGACAAAATCAATTTGAAACAATATCTTGTCAAAAAAAATATGAACCTCCTCTTTTTGGTATTAAAAACTCATACAAAATTACAGACTACATTCTATAGCATCTTATTATCCTATTTTTGTAAGCATACATATACTCGACAGGTTGCTATAGTGGGGCACTCCTTCAACACTGACACTGTTATTATTAATAAGCAGATACATAGATGCTTAGAAATTGAGCTCATTATTTCAACCTAATTGCACACTTAAAACGTTATCGCAAAATTAATTCATAATTATTATTGAGGATTGGTATACGAACTGAATTTGCTAGTTAAGTGTGAGTCGAGATCGTGGACGTTGATTCCATATACATTAAAATATATTAAGAAATTTTAGTAGATAGCTTTTTCATTGCACCACTACTTGTACTAATGTTGATTTCAATCAAGAGGTAGAATTTGTACAAAATCGTTTACATTCCTACATATATATTCGTACATTTTTTTCGAATTCAAGTGACCAACGGTAGGTACTGTCTAGGTACCTCATCTAATAAAAAAAACAGGTTAGAGTACTATGTGAAAATTTACGCATGGTTATCTATCTACCAGGTAATGACAAGGTTAATAAAATACGAACATCTTTAAAAAAATCCTTAATAATATTACTACAATTTACCTTCTTTACCTGTTATTACAGTCTATAAATGCAAAGTATCTACTCATTTTCCTCATATCGTAGTTAGACCGTATTTTCACAGTATTTTATTTATATATATATATATATATATATATATGACATTAATGAGTTTTTATATTATCGATGAAATTTAGAAACGCCTTATGTTCTAATAATTATGTATATGTCTCTCGCATATCACGCAAGAGTAACAACTTCACGCCTGGGTTAATATTTTATTTTAGAAAAATACTCCTCTCAAAAGTTTATACATAAACTCGCCTCGTTAATGACGTTGTGTGGAACTAAGCTACAGGTATCTAAATTTTTAATAACTTCTTATACGACTGAAATGTTAAAAACAGTACAAACTGACATTCCACATAATTGAAAGTGTTTGCCATATTTGCAGGTATGGAGTATCCTATGATGTTGATGTATGCCACTAGTTAATGTTTTTAGTTAGTGGATATAATTATATTTATATATGAAATATACGAAAATATCTATAATCTATGTAATATTATATATAACCTATACGTTCGAGTTTTTTTACAAGAGACCCCTAAAATGCAAATTCACTTGTAACATTGACAGAAAGCCGTTGTATCAGACATTGATTTTTTGTTTGTTTGCATCATTTATTCTACAAAATAAAATTACAAACTATTTCACACCCACATTAACTCGACACAGAAATGAATTCATCGAGTATAACTGTGTGTATGTATATATGTTCACAAGAAAGAAATATAATAGGTGTACCCAACACATCGTGTGTTGGATACACATCTTTCGGGGATATTTAGCTATGTGATATAAAAACTATGAGACAGACAAATACTATAATAATAACTTTTATATTCTTTGAATTACAATATAAATAAAAAACATTGCTACAAAATTATTTTGAGTAAATGCAGCGTAACTTTTAGAGCTAATCCTCTAAAAGTTACGGTGCATTTATATCTATTGTATACAAAAATTTACTCATATATACATGTATAGCAATATTATATACAGAGTACAAATTTTACCTCTAAGAAAATATTTGCCGATTGTAAATAACGTTAAAAGCGTTGGATATATAATATATAAAAATATAAATTTTAAAGTGTTTAATTTATTTCTATAAATTACAGAACCAATTTAAAAAAAATTTAGCCTCTTGTATAAAACAATAATAATATAAATCGCTTCTTAAATACTTTGCCAATTTATAATTACGTATAACTATATTTCCATATATAATCGTTAATACGAAAGGAATAGTCTATGTCTATTGTTTTCCATCTGATATTCCATATAACATATGTTTATAATAAATATTTGTAAAAATACTATTTAATAAGAAAAAACGTTGATAAATTAAGTTAAACTAATCAAAGCCTGCAATTTAAAAGGATCAATAAATTCTAACACTTGTTAATTGAATAGATTTAGTAATAACGGTACCATGCATTAAATGGACGGGACACATATTTATTAGCGAATTAGACGACCCAGTGGACTTCGTTATATTATACATATAAATAAAATTGAAGTATGCATACATATACCTCAAAATAACATTTTTTACAATTTTTGTCTGTCTGTCTGTCTGTTTGTTCCGGCTAATCTCTGAAATGGCTGGACCAAATTTGACAGGACTTTTATTGGCAGGTAGCCGCTGTAGTAACTTTTATTTTAGAAAAATAAAGTTAAATTCCTCGCGGACGAAGTCGCGGGTACAGCTAATCTATAGTACAATATAGTTTATTACAACTTTTGGTCTGATATTTATTTTTCTCCCTAATCAAAATTCACATTTTAATTAATTTTGATTAAAAATGAATACTGCTGAATTCTAAAACATTAAAAACAATTTATTGATTAAAAGTAGCAATTTTGACAGTATCACAACAAAAGTCATAATAGTAGCCCGAAGTACGTAGTAATATACCAAATCAAAAATTAAAATTTCTGATTATTAGATTTTACAGTTAAGCTTCAAAATCCTGTATTATAGGAAACAGAGTAAAGAAAAACGAATTTTATATACAGAAGATACCGGAAGACTCACCTCTATATCACGGCTGATCGAAAATTCATTCACTTCACAATATTTGTATAGTCGTCCTTACGAACTGTCTCACACAGTGACACTTAACAATGTACTTTGCCAGTTATCATCGCAAGATGTATCGACAGATTGCAGGTCAGGTGTAGCCTGTTGTTCACTTGCCAAAATTTCGCTGACTCCGGCCACGATCGTGCATAACAAGCACTATGACATGAAACAAGTGTCCCCGTTCGGAATAATCCGCGACAAACTTTTCACCGCCATCGAATGAGTTACGTCACGTTCGTCCTCCAGTCCTTCGCCGTCTGTAATTTCTTCGGTTGAAATATCGAGGAGAACTTTGTATTCATATGCCACCGAAACTCTCTTCACTAATTGTGATGCACGGCGCGTCCTTTGCTTTCCGTTTTGTAAAGCAGTAGAGTGTCGATGCACCCTGGAGCGACGGGTGGGTCCTCATTGTTCATAGCTGCGATATAGTATTCATGAGGTGACTTGTTTATAACGAGTTGCTTTTTATAATGAGTGTAGGTTATCTGCTGGCAGGCGCGCGCGGCGTACCGGTACTGAATGGTGCCTCAGCGAGTGTAATCGCCGACGTCGCCTCGCCAGTTGGCCACTGGGTTAGCGGTGTTCCTTTTCCTGCTGCGACTCAGTAATGGGAGATATACAAGTCCAATATATGTATATGCCTCAGGTTGATCCTGTCGTAATTAAGCACACGATAATGCTCATATTCATACTTTGATAAAAACAAAAGTATTGGTAACGGAAACATTTTTTGAGTAAATATCACATATCAAGGCGCATACTTATCATTAAAAGATGTAAGGACAATGATATACGTTATCAAGTAATATTATTGAAGGGTCATATCTACTCATTCCGTAACATTTGTGAACTATATTCATTTCTCAAATTATCACAATCTATGCTGTATCTTATGTAATCTTCTTGAAATTTGATGCAAATCACTATTTCAAGCATGCAAGTTTTGCAAATACTTTACATTTTATTATTAATCCTGTTCTAATATCTAATAAGTAGGTACATACTTGTAAAAATATATTTGACATTATTAAATGTAATCACATGACCGACCGCACACACGACAGTAATGAAGAATACATTGCCACAATATTATCGCTATTAGAAAATAGCTATAAAGCCTTGCGTATAACATGTCATGAATAATGATGTTTTGGATATAAATAAGTAACATAGCGGTAGTGCCGATCGAGTTTTAGATTTAAAATTAGCTGTATCCTACAGCTATAACATCGTGGAATACAGCTTATGTCAATTACTGATAATTCAGCTATTAAATTGATCCATTGTATATACAAAAAAGAAACAGATTTCCTCTTTATAGTATTTTGTATAGATAAAGTATTCTATTACCAAACAAAGTATAATTAAAATATTTTATTATTTATAGGTTTTATCTTGTTACTCTTAGTGACCACCTATACGTAAGAATACTGATTATTCTTATTGGATTAGAACAGACATTACATATATTCAATATAACATAATCCAATATATTATTAAACTGGTGAGTTTAGACTATACACTGATGGAACAACAACCTACATACTTGATCGCGAATGCAGTTGACCAACTGTAGTGCTATTAACCATCGCTTAACATGTTTAAACGATATAAAGCCTAGAAAAGATGGAGAAAAAGAATTCCGATACTCTTTCTAATTTACTTATTACAAAAACATCCATAGAAGCTATTCCTGAAATTCTCAAATAATTAAATAACACACTACAACAAAATAAATAGTAAATTCAAAAACAAGCACAATTAAAAACGCTAAATTCGATGTTTTGTAAACATAAATTGAATTATTATGTTTCTATGCATCATTCATATCATTATCTTAACTGTGATATTACTAACTCTATATATCTTCAGGCCAAATCCATTGCGGGGAAGGATTTTAATAATTTAATTTATCAGTTGCAGAATTGCCAAATATATGGAGTAACATATTGAAAAAAATAATTCGAACTGATTGCTTAAGTTTGTTTGACATAATTTGAAAATCTTTGTCCGTACCCCCTCCATAGATCATACATACGTAAAAAGAGTCTCAAACGATCAGTGTCACACCACGCCATTCATATTGTTTTGAAAAAATAAAAAAATATCACATTGTACTTTTGTTACTTAAGTAAAATATAGTTTTTAGATTTTTTGCCTGTTTGTCTGTTTCTTTTTTCAACTATTAGAGCTCCTTCACCAATTTGAGTCCAGCTTTCACTGATGTAGTAAGTTTCCCGCAACAGTGATGTCTTTCATTCCAATAGGTTCTCAAATATAAAAGTTAATGCCTTATTTATTGTTCTAATTAGTAGTAACTAAAGTCACGGGCACAGCTAGTTTAAAACATAACAACAGTTTTATGGAATGATGTTACGTGGCTGATGTAAATCATTCGCCGTATATCAGATGCATTCATAAAGATTGTGTAACAGAACTGGGCCGGAACATGTCGTGATGTACCAGTACTTATTATTTCGTAATATCTTAAACGTATCAAAAACAATGGTAACTATTACAGGTAATTATTTGAAAGGATTTGAACCTTTGTATTTATGCAATTTGTATATTTATTACTTAATCAACCTTGCCAATTAAACATATTGTTGTTTTATTTTTTGTTTTTAATTCAGACACAGACAGGCTAAGAGAATTGGCCATACTGCCTTGCTATAGATTACACGTTACACATTAATTTTAGTGTCTCACTGGCATGCATCAATTTAAAAAATATTTTTTAAAACCTGTTAATTTTTGACAGTTCCTCCAATTTTTACTTCTATTACCCACTCACTACTAGCTAATCAACGCTGTGTTGGGTTGACTGGAAGAGATCTCATTTAGAGATAAGTTCACGTTAGCTCACTTTGTCTCGTAATTAGTATTATTACTGTTACTAAGAGTGCAATAAAGAATATTATACTAGCAAAGCCCGCGAATTCGTAACTGTTATAAGTTTTTGTTTGTAAACTGATTGAAATAATAAAAACGATATATTTGACGAGGTGAGGCTTACCACAATACATTAGTAAAAAGAGCTTATAGGATACATTTTACTCGCAGGACACATTTTGTTTTATGTTACTATTAAATAAATTCCTCTATTAACAGTTTTTCTCGTGTATTTCATGTACAGACAACGACTTTACATTTTTATGATAGCATACATTGCCAAAAGTACGAAAAATCGGAAATGAGCAATGAAGTAGTACAGATATTTACAGCTATGTGCATGTTTACAACCACAGATTCTTCACTATTGGACGTAAAATACCGTAGTATTGTTTAATCATCATCAATGGCCACTGGAATGTGCATAAAAATAAGTTATATTAATTTGAATAATAATAATTTCTACGACTTCTGTATTAGAGTTTAAAATACAAGTATAAGTCATCATTACTCATCGTACTACTGCGAAAATAGGTACTACTTATTTATCTCACTTGTTTTTATTTATTACAAGCTGCGACTCCGTTTCCTTATTTTGAGATAAAAAAGCGTAAAATTCGTCCTCGTGATACAATCTATCGTCTTAATAAATTTCATTATAATCGATACAGCCGATAGACAGACAGACACTTTGGAATTTATAATATTAGTATGGATAAATAATGAATGATGGTATACGCAGTCGAGCTATCAGCGAAGGATGTTAGGATGGCCATCAAGACGAGTGAGTTATCCCAACGTAACAAATTCAGGCTTCTGTGGGAGATTTGACATTATCAGCAATCGACCTTTAATTTCCCATTCCTCGTGTCCAAATTAATTATAAATGAGATTACTTGTAAAGCACAAATAGTTAAGAAACGTCACCTTCGTATGGTGATTGGTAAGAATCGATTACGGATTTATGTCAACATGCAATGTACGTTGAGTTTCTAATTTAAACAAAAGCGCATAGAAACTTAGCTGAACCACAGACGGCGCCTGTTAACCCTCAAATATAAATAATGCATTTAACTGTTTCATTGTCATGGTAATTAATTTGTCCCACATACTTCCAGGGTGAAACTTGAGATTTGTATGCAGTTTGACAACGGTGTGTGTGTTCTTAATGTGTTTGTTATTTCTTTTTCCTTAAAACATTAAATGGAACCTACTTTTTTCATGATAACTTATAAATAAATAGTATGGGACATTTGTATATATATAAATTACAACCGACCAGTTGTGTCTATGGCGAAGGGGTATAAAATTACTAAAATATGTGTGACATTTACAAATGGACTTTAAGATCCTGCTGTTACTGTAGTTTATCTTCCTTTTTCACATGAACTCCACCATGAATATTGCATCAAAAATGTTGACTATGACACTTTTGATTGTAACTTTCATATTCCTGAGGATTGTAACGTTACTTAATGAATGTATGTTATTTTGTTTTATTAAGATAACATTGTAACGTTGACTTCGTATCCGGTAATAGAACTAGTGTGTCTTACCCATAAAAAAAAGAAATACAGATTATGCAAAGCAAGCGGCTTAAATTTATTTATTTAATTAAACCTTAATCATATATTAATACAAAAATTCAAGAAAAACAAATTAATTTTACTAACGTTATTATATCTGGCGCACTCTAGGTCGCATTTTAATACTTCTAGCCAATATATACCGCCAATATGTCCAGCATTTGTCTTTAAACCTACTTAGTCGCGATGTTACTATAGATTATGTAAAATACTCTCGAGTAGTGTAGTCATAGCAGATACATAAAATTGAAATAAGATGTGTGATTTCTATACGCAAAATATATATATATTGATTGTAATATAACAAAATCACTATATAATATATTTTTTTAATACCAATAAAACTAAATTATTTAATAATTCAAACAATTATAGATACATAATTATTATATTTATTTTAGAATGTTAGATCTTTCGTCAAACATTAACGGTATCAACTAAGACTTAAAACCGTTGGAATTCAATGAATGCAGACTCTAGAACGTGAAAAAAAACTGTTACAGAACAGTTAATTTATACCTATCTGCATGTCGAGTGTATTATATTATACGCTATTCATTACTATAATTAATAAGATATTTATAATGTATTGATAAATTTTACTTCAAGTTTCGCATATTTAGTAACAATACTGATGCGATTTTTATTTTATACGATATCGATTCTCTCAACAGTTATCCTGTACATAGAAAAAAATATATAAGGCCATAATAAACTGTTGTAGAAATTGTATGAAAATTTACATTCATTATTTTACATACCATATATGTATTTAGTTACTAGCTGTCCCGGCAAACAAAACCGGTTGTTTTGCCAAATAAATTAAAATCGCTATTAAAAAATCGGAGTAGAAGGGTGAAAATTTAAGATTATACGTATTTTTAAGGTCACATTATAAAATAAAAACTTTTGTTTATAAATTAAAAAAATATGTTAGGAGTAAAAAACCCTTATCACTTAGGGGTATGAAAAATAGATACTAGTTATTTTTACTTACTAGTTATTATTTCTGTCCTACTGAATATGCATATAAAATTTCATAAAAGTTGTTCAAGCTCGGAGAAGTATGCTAACTAACATGACACGAGAATTTTATATATAAGATTAATAATTCTAAAGCTGATTTATTATAGAACTGATAACCGGTATGGAAG